TTAACCATTTAACAATGAACACTCAATAATCCTACTGCAGTCGTTGATGCTTGAACCCGTAATCTCTAAGAACAAAAACAATTTTTTTAACTACCGATGTAAGTAAATTCATGCCCTAGTATTTAAATTGATTCTTACGGAACAAATATAGGATGTCACATTTCATTTCTCTGATATTGCATTATTATCAATTATTTTACTAATAATACACATATTAGAAAATTGTAGGGTCATGGCACATGGGATGTTTAGTCGTCAGTTTCCACTAAATAAAGATCAAATGTCCAACCACTCAAGTAACCCTTCTATTTTTCCATTATTTTGATTTACATATAAAACTTTCAATCTTTATAATTTAGTCTTTAATTGAAAACCTGAATCCCCACTTAATCAAACTAATTTCTTATCAACAAACATATAGCCAAAGAATTAAAACAATATTTTCAAAAAAAGGCTTAATGGTACGTAAGGCCCTCAAACTTTTCAAGAAAAAATCAATATGACCCTTGAACTTATTTTGCACTCAATATAACCCTTAAACTTATAAAAATGTGTGGTCCTTTGACCAACTCGTTGACCAACGATTCCGTTAAAATATGCTGACTTGGCTCGTTATTCTGTTGTGTCACTCCATTTAATATTTGACTAGGCGTTGACCAGACCATTTCTACTGACTTGGCATTTTAACCACCTCTCACCGTCTCACGCCATTGTTGCACTCTACGCCTTTCTCTTTTCATTCTGCTACACTGAGTTAGTCATCCACATGCTCGTCGGCAGCAGTTTCTTCTGTGTAGCTATTTCATTGCTGCTATGGATCCAGAATCTGCAAAGTTGAGCCATCAATCTTCTTAATCGCATGATGTTCTTTTGGAACCTGCTATTTTCTTCTTAGTGGATTTGAAAGAGAGTTTCAGTAGCCATTCTAAATGAATGTTCAATGTTAGTGTTTTTGCTTGGGCGATATGCTTGTGAGAGTATCTGGTTCGAATGGTAGAGAGTTTTTAGGAGCTGCTTTTCTGGTCCATGTCTAAGTGTAATGTTTTTGATCTCCTTGTGTAGGTCTGTTGTTTTCATTGTGGTCTTGGTGCATTGACTTCTCCTAGTTGGAATTATTTTCTCGTCTTGTTTTTTGTCACCTCATGCTGCACTTTTTTCCTTCATCAAAGTTAGGGAAGTTTTTTAACGAGACCATGGTGATCCCTATTTTGTTTAGCACGCATTGTACTTAATACAAAACGTTATTTTTTCAAACAAACAAACAAAACTACAAAAGTTAAACATTAGATTTAATGTTAAGTCGATATAATTCTTAACTCAGGGTTATGCTTTCGAGTCAAAGATAGTAATAAAAATTTCATGATTAAAGACATCTGTAATCTTGTGAATAAATTTTATCTAAAGATTTCATAATAGTTAAAAAGGATGACTTTAAGAGCAAAATTACATCATTATGAGTAGAGTTATCTTAAAATTTAGGTTTAAGAAAATTATTGACAATCTCTTATCCAAGTAAATGGACCTAGAGGATACTAGGGAAACGAACATTTATCCATATATGTTCGGACTGATAAAACTTCTATCGACTCTCAAAATTTCTACAATAAGTGTTGAAAGAGATTTTTCTATAATCAATTTCATCAAGATAATAATACTACACAACAAAATGAAAGTTGAATTTTTTAGAGTTGCATGCTTATCAACATCGAAAGAGATATTGCAGGAGGTTTTGTACAATATCACTCGTTGATGTATTTCGAGATTTGAATTAACGACATATTTTATTATGATTATGTGATACTTATGCATTTGACGTCTTTTAAAATTTTGTCTTTTTTATTATTTACTTTGATTTTATTTATAATTTTCTATTTGTTATTTCATAGAAATGATAGAACTAATATATATATTTGATGTAATCATCTATATATTTTTTAAAATAAATAAATAATACAGAAAATTATGTATAAAACTTAAATTTATTAAAAAGTATTTAATCTTTGTTAGGATTAAATTTTTACTCCGTCCCTGATCATACTAAAAGTAAAGGGAAGAACCGATTGAGCATGCCTATTACTCGAGGTCGTGTGGCACTGCATTAGTCGTATGACGAAAATGTGTGCATTAGCCTCCAAAAGATGACATGCTTCAACAAGATAAAAGGTTGCCGCAAAAACATCCATGTTGTTGGGGGATAGTAATTGATGCTGGTTTGTGCCGACGAAATGTTAGTGTATGTGGTAATCAATTTGATATCGTTTAAGTAAAATATTATATTCAAATTTTTGTATATACAGAAAACCTTTACTGAGATATTCGTTAATCGTTATGTTTTATAAAATTTATTAAATGATTTCAATGATAAAAATAAATTTCATTCTTTTTAAAATATTCGAGTTTGAGATAAAATTTATTAAATATATTTTTTAAAATTCACAATTTATCCCTTATTTTCCCAATAAAATTACATACGAAAAGAAAAATATTTTTCTGAAATTTTGCGGACGTATATATCTCTTCACGCATTTCCGCCGGGCAAGGCAAGCTTCCTTTTTCGAAATATGGTAATTTTTATTAAACCCTAATAAGATTTATTCGAGATACTGAGTTATCGGCTCTCCTCCCTTGCATCACTCCACTACATTTGTTTCACTTTTTCGATTCTAAAACGAAACTTGTTCACACCGCTATTGAAGCCTTCGTCGGTGGCAGAAGGCGGCGACACCGCTAAGCAACCGCCATTCTAAACCCTGTTAACCCCCTACCGGCCCCCCATGGATAGTATCATCTCTTTTACTCAAAAAGCTACCAACTTTGGTTTCAACACACCACAGACCATGACCGAACCATCAGAAGAAAGTTCGGGAACGACCAAAGGCCGGAAACCCATTTTCCCAAAATCGGTCGCGATGGCGGTGAGTTGAAAACTGATCGTTTGAAGCAAGGGAATGGCGGAGAGAATGAACCGAAGAAGAAGGACCACACAGAGAGGGGAAACGAAACGACTGCGTTTTGGACGGTTTGTCCGTACTGTTATCACATGTACGCGTACGAAAATAAGTACGAGGACTGCTGCTTGCTTTGCCAGAATTGCAATAGAGGATTTCATGGACTGGCGGTGGAGACGCCACCGGAGAGGTTTCAGGCGAAGGGGAACGTCGGGGAGTATTATTTCGGGTATGGTTTTTGACTTTTTCCCACTAGGCTATTCCGGGGATAACGGTTTCTTCAGCAACAAGAAACATGGCGAAAAGCAAGCTGTTGTGGAGATTTCCGATGACAGTGACTATGAAAAGAAGGTTTGTGAAGTGAAAAAAGATGTTTTGATGAGGAGAGTGAAATCCGTGCCAAAGAATCCAAATAAATTGTTTGGGAGAGGGATAAAGATACAGCCGAAGGAGATGATTGAGAAAACGCATGTTGTGGAAATGAATAAGGAGTTTTTGAAGGAAGTGGATAGCAATGGCGGTGTTGGTTCCAACGAAGATGACGGGTTGGACTTTTTTGATGATGTTTTTGTGGGGTTGAGGGATGTTTGCTTATGGGAATCATTCATCCATCTTTTTGCTCAACTATTTTAAACTTGAGCACACTTAAGGTTGGATTACTGTAGAGATGTTTAGGGTTAGAGAACAGATTTATGGAATGTTTAATCTATAGTTGAAAGTGATGTATACTGTCTCTTGAATTGACAGTGCTTGTTATTTTTGTGCTGCTAGTAATGGCAGCTTCGATTATGAGTTTTCCATCTCATGTTTAACTATTCTCGTTCTTCAAGTTATTAGTTTGCATCATTTGAATTGTATATCAGAAGCAGGGATTTAAATCCATGGATATAATGGTTTCGGTAGGGTTTTCGATTGAGTTGTGTGGACATAATGATATTATTGTGTTCATTGCGGTAGCATTCTCCAATCAAATGACGATACATATTAATATAATTATATTAATTTATTAATTGTCATTTTAACACTTCTATTAAAGCTTCACGACATGTGACTTGAATGAAACCACTTAAATAATTATGTGGTTATAATGACAAAATTAAAAGTATGATGATCATATCAACACACCCTATAATTAAGTCGTCTTTTAAGTAGTTTACCTTTATAATAAAAACTTTTTTTTATTAAGATCCAATCCCTTTTACAAAAAAATCCAGAGTTAATTCCTTTTATGAGTTAAGCGATTAAAAAATATAAGGGTAAAGTACGTAAATGATCTCTAATTATAAGATATTGTTTTATTAAGTATTTGACTATTAAAAATTATAAAATAATCTCCAACTATATGGTGTTTATTGAGTTCTCTAACTACTAAAAGTTTAAAAATAGTCATCCGATTATTTATACGTTATAAACTCGTCATTTTTCATTAAAATTGATAGTAATCTAAGCTGAACGTTAACTTATTGATTGAGATATGATAAAATCATATTTTAATAACGTCTAATGACACCATCATTGCTTTCAAGAATTAACAAGAAGATGACATAATGTTTCAAGCACCGGTTAGAGGATATAGTGTAAATAGAGAATCGATCCACAAAATACAACTCAAACGGTTCTAGGATCAAATTTTATCATATCCTAGTTAACATGTTAACATCTAGTTAAGACATTTTCCAATTTATTAATAGTAAAAGACGAATTTGGAATATATTAATAGTTGTTGACCATTTGTAACTTTTAATAGATAAATAACTCAACAAAATAACACCTTATAATCGAGAAATTATTTTTAATTTTTAATAATTAAAAAACTCAACGAGACAATATCTTATAATTTAAAAAATATTTTTAATTTTTAATAATTGAAAAATTCAACAAAACAACCCTCAAAATGGATGACTGATTTGTGTTTTTACCCAAATATAATTAAATTTGCTTCATTGTACATCGTAACCCTAGTTCCTCAAAGTTGGAATTCTTAATATAAAAACACGTCCTCCGTTTTCTTATATTGTTTTTTGTCCTTTTCTAGTCGCTCACTCATTACTAACTATTCTTCTTCTTCTCCCTTGAACCGAAAAAAAAACAGCTGAAATTACTTTGCCTTTCTAGATTTTGATTGTCTTCTCCATGCCATGAAGAATTTATCTTCATCCTCCAACCACCGCCACCCACCGCCGTCGGGTGCCCACAAACCGTACCATCATCACAACAACCGCCCTAGGGACCCGAACAACCGCCGTTTTGTACCCGGTTTTCAGGCTGTCAATAGCACACACTACCGCCGCCGTTTTCCTCCGGCTACATCCACCGATCTTGGTGCAGCCGGTTCAAACGTCATCCGCGCCCAAACTTCATAATTCAATTCCTCCACGACTATTCGCCTTCCCCTTCCGAACTCAACAACCTCCAGATTTTGATTTCCGAACTCAACCCGTCCCCCGAAAGTTCCAGCTTCATCTCCACCGCAAAAATCGCTGCTTCCCTAACGTTCCAAGAATGGAATCAAACCCTTTCTTCAATTCTTCATATATGGCGTTCCCGCCTTGATGGGTCCCACCATTCTACTCCCATGCTTATTCCCAACATCATAGTGCCCTCCGACGCGGTGGAACTCGAGCAAAACCTCAAAACCCTTTTCTCGAGCCCATGTTGCGGGATTGATGGGAGGGGAATTGGTTAAGAAGTGGCAGAAGAAAATCGACGAGAAATCCGATGAGATCACTAAGTTGTCAGCACAAATGGGCAAGAGGAATAATTCTGTCAGGAGGTTTTCTGAGTTGAATGACACGAAGAAAGCTCTAAAGGCGGAGAGATCAACGATTTGGAAGCGGTTGGAGGAGTTTAAGGGAGGTATGGGGAGCTTGTTGAGGTGTTTGGAAGATGGGGTAATAATAGGGAATGAGGATGAGGATGAGGATGAAGGCGTGGAGGTTTTCAGGGTTGAAGGAGAGATTGATTGGAAGAGGATTCATCAGCTGATTTTGTGGGAATGTAGGAGGTTGGAAGATGGTTTGCCCATTTATGCTTACAGGCAAAAGATTCTTGCTAGAATACATTATGAACAGGTAATCATTTATTTCTCACACCATTTTTTTTTGGTTTTATTTTCAGCTTTGTATTGTGTTTTGTGATGTATTTTGGTAGATAGATTTGGATTATCATCATTTATTTTGTGTGCAGTGTAAAACCTTAGTGATGCAATTTAAGAATGTCAAAGTTGGTTTGGATAATATCCTTTGTCCTCTTATATTCAATCTTGTTCCTATATTACCTGGATGTTTAAATCTAATTATAATGCAGCCTTTTTTTCTCATTCCCTGTTTAACTTATAACTATTAAATGCACAGGTCATGGTGTTGATTGGAGAGACTGGTTCAGGAAAGAGCACCCAGCTGGTTCAGTTTCTTTCTGATTCAGGAATCGCTGCAAATGAGTCAATTGTATGTACACAGCCACGAAAGATTGCTGCCATCTCATTAGCAAAAAGAGTCAGAGAAGAAAGCATTGGGTGCTACAATTATAATTCGGTCACTTGTTATCCAACATTTTCATCTGCTCAGCAGTTTGATTCGAAGGTAATCTATATGACCGACCACTGCTTACTGCAGCATTATATGAATGATAGGAATTTGTCAGGGATTTCTTGCATCATTGTTGATGTGGCCCATGAACGAAGTTTGAATACTGATCTTCTTTTGGCTTTGCTTAAAGATTTGCTTGGCAGAAGAGTTGATCTAAGGCTTGTTATAATGTCTGCAACAGCTAATGCAAATCAACTGTCAGACTACTTTTTTAGGTGTGGCATCCTTCATTTGGAGGGGAGAAATTTTCCTGTTCATATTAAATATGTTCCTCATGCAACGGAGGGAACTTCTGGTCTTGGTATGGTCCCTACATATGTTTCTGATGTCTTGAAGATGGCTGCTGAGGTTCACAAAACTGAGAAAGAAGGGAACATTCTTTCCTTTTTAACTTCCCAAATGGAAGTAGAATGGGCTTGTGATCATTTTGAAGCTCCAAATGTGGTTGTATTACTGGAAAGCTATCCTTTGAAGAGCAATGTAATGTTTTCCAGAACGACCCTGGGAAAAGAAAAATTGTATTTGCGACAAATATTGCAGAGACATCGCTCACAATTCCTGGTATCAAGTATGTGATTGATTCTGGTATGGTCAAGGAGAGTAAATTTGAACCTGGCACTGGAATGAACGTTCTCAAAGTCTGTTGGATCAGCCAGAGTTCTGCCAATCAACGAGATGGTCGTGCTGGGAGGACAGAACCGGGAAGTTGTTACAGACTATACACAGCAAGTGATTTTGAGTTATGGCAAATGCCAGTAGTATATTTTGCAGGGTGGACAGTGATGATGATAAAGCGAAAGCTGATTGTCTTAAGGTGCAATTTTGCCATCGGAATGGTGATCTCTTTACTCTGCTCTCTGTGTACAAAGAATGGGAAGCTCTCCCTTGCGACAGGAAAAATAAATGGTGCTGGGAAAACAGCATAAATGCAAAATCAATGCGTAGATGCCAAGATACAGTCTTCGAATTGGAAACTTGTCTGAAAAAGGAGTTTGCTGTTATTATTCCAAGTTACTTAATATGGGATCCTCATAAGTCTACTGAGCATGATAAAATTTTGAAGGCGATTATACTTTCTTCCCTGGCCGAAAATGTAGCCATGTATTCTGGACATGACAAACTTGGTTATGAAGTGGCATTGACCAGGCAACATGTTCAACTGCATCCTTAATGTTCATTACTGATATTTGGTGAGAAGCCAAGTTGGGTTGTCTTCGGTGAACTCTTATCTGTCAATAATCGGTATTTGGTCTGTGTAACTGCTATTGATTTTGAATCTTGGCTACTCTGGATCCTCCTCCCTTGTTTGATGCCTCTATGATGGAAAGCCGGAGGTTGCAAGTGAAGGCACTGACTGGTTTTGGTAGTACACTATTAAAAAAATTATGTGGGAAATCTAACCACAATCTTCGGTGTCTTTTATCACGGATTAGGACTGCTTGTATGAATGAACAGGTTGGTGTTGAAGTCAATGTTGACCAGAATGAGATTCTGCTGTTTGCTTCGTCAGTGGACATGCAGAAGGTTCTGGACTTCGTAACTGAGGCGGTGGAATGTGAAAAGAAATGGTTGCTTAATGAATGCATGGAGAAACCTTTATTTCATGGACGGAGAGCATCACCATCTATGGCACTTTTTGGAGCTGGTGCTGAGATTAAGCATCTTGAACTTGATAAAAGATATTTGTTCGTTGATGTATTCCATTCAAATGTTTGTACCTTCTATGATAAGGAGCTTTTGACGTTCTTTGAGGATTATTCTAATGGCAGTATTTGCTCGGTCCATAAATCTCAAGCCAGTGGGAAGGAAACAGATGAAAAGGAAAAATGGGGCAAGATAACGTTCCTAACTCCTGACACTGCCAGAAAAGCTGCTAAGCTGGATGGGTTCAACTTTGCTGGCTCTGCACTGAAGGTACTTCCTTCACAGACATCCTTTGGGGGTGATCATAAGATGTTCTCTTTCCCTGCAGTCAAAGCAAAAGTTCATTGGCCTCGTAGGGTCAGTAAAGGGTTTGGAATCATTAAATGTGATCTCGTTGATGTTGGGTCCATTTTGGATGATTTCTCTTCTCTAATAATAGCAGATAAATATGTTCGTTGTGAAGTTAGCAGGAAATGTAATGATTCTATTATGATATATGGAATCGGTAAAGATCTTTCTGAAGCTGAAATTTGGGATATACTATGTTTGGCAACGGAAAGGAAAATCCATGATTTTTTTTCTCATGAGAGGAGATGCTGTGGAAAATCCAACATGTGATGCCTGTGAGGAGGCACTACTCAGAGAAATATCACCCTTTATGCCTAAAGGGAATCCCCATACTAACTGTTGTCAGGTTCAGGTTTTAAAGCCTGAACCAAGGGAGACTTTTATGAAAGCACTGATCACCTTTGATGGAAGATTACATTTGGAGGCCGCAAAAGCTTTAGAACAGCTAGAGGGTAAAGTATTACCTGGATGTCTTTCATGGCAAAAGATAAGATGCCAGCAACTGTTTCACAGTTCTATATCCTGCTCTTCTTCTGTCTATGCCGTTATTAAGAAGCAGCTCAACTCTTTGCTAGAAAGTTTCAGACATGTAAAAGGTACTTGAACTGTCATAGCACTATAATTAACCTTCTGTTTCTATTTCGACGTTCTTTGTGCATGTTTACATGTCATATATGCATGCTTTGTTACTACAACATTCGGACCCAAGACAAGTACTTGGGTGTGAAGATATATGACTCGGGCCAGAGATTGTCAACTTGTTTCTTGTTTGCATCTAATTTTAAGTTATATCAATTATTTTTCCTTCCATCTCTTTCTGGATAATCAATTGTGCTTTGGGTTATTTTCAAATTTGTAACACTGGATTGACATTCATATCACCTTTTAGTATTTTAATGCAGTTATGTCGGTTTTAAACTATTTTAATTAAACTGCGCTATGGATGCTTAGTTTTGCCAAACCTGGGTGATAGCAAAATTGATTACGAGGTGCATTTTAGCATTTAAATATCAAAATATATCCTCTAAAAATGGTGAAAAGGTTGTCCTCCAAATCTGTTTTCTTGATGTTGAAAATAGTTAAGGAAATTAGATGTTTCTTCTGAAATTGCCAATACATCATTTACATGTGCAGGTTGCTTCCTGGAGGAAAATGAAAACGGTTCCTGTCGGGTTAGAATATCTGCTAATGCCACCAAAACTGTGGCAGAGTTGAGAAGGCCAGTGGAAGAGCTAATGAACGGAAGTACCGTAAAACATGCCAGCCTCACTCCTTCCATATTGCAGCACCTGTTCGCTAGAGATGGCAACGAGAGACGAGAACCTACATATTTTTTGACCGGCATAGTCTCAATGTGAGAATCTTCGGCTCTTCTTATGATGCTTCTGTAGCCCAGCAAAAATTGATTCAATCCCTTTTGTCCCACCACAACAGCAAGCAGCTTGAGGTCCGACTTCGTAGTCGGGGTCTGCCTCCTGATATGACGAAGGAAATGGTTAAGAAGTTTGGGCCAGACCTTCATGGGCTCAAAGAGAAGATACCCGGGGCTGAATTTACGCTTAATACCTGGCATCATATTATTTTGATTCGTGGTGACAAAGAGATGAAGCAAAAGGTAGAAGAAATCGTCCTTGAGATTGCTAAGGCAGGCAGAGATTTTGCTGAGAGATCTGACAGTGAAGTCACCTGTTCCATTTGCTTGTGTGAAGTAGAAGATGGCTACCGGCTTGAAGGGTCTTCACATCTCTTTTGTCGTTTGTGTTTGTTGGAGCAATGCGAATCCGCCATTAGATACTCGGGTAGTTTTCCTGTATGCTGTGCTAGCCAATATTGTAAAGCTCCCATTTTGCTTACTGATTTGAAGTCTCTGCTGTCAACCGAGAAGTTAGAGGAACTCTTTAGGGCTTCTTTGGGTGCATTTGTTGCATCCAGTGGGGGTGCCTTTCGGTTTTGCCCTTCTCCTGATTGCCTCTCTGTTTATCGTGTTGCTGATCCCGACACTTCGGGTGAGCCATTTGTCTGCGGAGCATGTTATGCCGAGACTTGTACTAGGTGCCATCTGGAATATCATCCCTATCTGTCATGTGAGAAGTACCGAGAGTTCAAGGAAGACCCCGATTCTTCTTTGAAGGAGTGGTGCAAGGGGAAAGATCAGGTAAAAACTTGCCCCGTATGCGGATATATAATCGAGAAGACCGATGGATGTAACCACGTCGAATAAGTGCGGGAGGCATGTTTGCTGGGTATGTTTAGAGTTCTTTAGCAGCAGTGATAATTGTTATAGCCATTTGAGAGCTGTCCACATGGCCATCACCTAGTTTTTAAATTATTGCTTACATTTCGACAATCATCCGTGTAAGTATGTGTATATAGTTTCAAGGGTTTACATTAAACGTGTTAATAGGTTTGAGCCGTTCGGCCTGCCGGTTCTTGTAGATGATTTTAAACATTTTCACGGTTACTCGTATTACTTGAATCTCTGGTAGGATGCTATTATAAACTCTGCATTGTACAAGCTCTGAGGGAGATGGAAAAGCCATGAAATACCAGGAGACTGCCCGCCTATTGAAAATGTGCTGTCGGCCGGAAGGAATTTGTTCTTCTCGGACATACTCCGTCGAAAGTAGTCACAACGGGTGTACTTATTCTGAAAATAGGAGTCGTCACTGATCTCTTTTTGGATTAAATACGATCAAATATTCATAAAACCACTCCTTTTTTAAATGATTTTAAAGGTTATAAAAATCGAACTTCTAATATTTGACAACTTTTTTCTAATGCCATGGAACTTTTAATTACTTTTAAAAATTTAATTAACTGTTAAATACAAGGTTGTCAGCACCTGGTATCGATTAACTGCCAAAACTAAAATAACAGACGCTGAGATATGGCATTGAAGATGGATGATTTTAATGTATTTTCAGCTTCCAAAATATGCTTCAAAAGCAGTACTTTTAACCATTTTTTCCAACCTCTAAACCCACAAAGGATAATAAAAAAATCTAAAACCAAAGGGACTACCTTTATAAACTTTTTTCGGTTTTAGTACGAGAAAATGCTTTTAGCTCTTTTCTCATTATTCCTTGGCAACAAAATGTTCGTTTCTTATTTTGTTCAATATTTTCAACTGGGTTATTCTTCCCAAGTTAAAGAATCAAATATTACTATGATTGTTTACAAGGCTGAACTTGGTATAAATTGGTTCATAAGGAAGGAATTACCAAATATTCTCTCTTCCCAAATGGATTTTCCTTTCCTTTTCTCGGGAAACCTCCCTCTCTTCTTCTTCTTTCCTTTGTTTTCTTTCTTGTTTGATGCAATTTTGAAGGGCTGCATTCTTCATGGAACTTGTTTTCAACAAATGGTTATTTGCGTTTTCAATCTTTTGTTGGCTAATCTTTTCTGTAGCATTTTCAGGTATGCTTCAAAAAGATCCTTTTTCTCTTTATTTTCCTTGGTATATTTTCTTGAGAAACAAACAATAAATTGTTCAAAAATTTTGTTTTAATTTGAAAAGTGGAAGGGTTGGATGAAGATTCTAAAGTAAGAGGAGTGAACTTAGGAGGGTGGTTGGTTCTAGAAGGTTGGATTAAGCCTTCTCTTTTTGAAGATATTCCTAATGCAGACATGCTTGTAAGTATTTTTTAAAAAATGATTTTTTTTTCAACAAATAAATTTGATAATACGTTCTTATGTACATTAAAAAATGCAGGATGGAACACAGGTTAGTTTCAAGTCAGTGAAACTGCAGAAATATGTTTGTGCTGAAAATGGAGGTGGAATGGACATTTCAGTTTACAGAGATTCTGCATCTTCATGGGAAACTTTTACAGTAAGAAGCCCCCACGCAAGTTCTTGTTATATCGACCTTACGATTCCGGTCTCGCGCGGTGTAAGTTCTTGTTCCGCAACAAAATTTGATGTCTAACCACTTGCTTGTAATGCAGTTATGGAGAGTTACTGAATCCGAATTTCAATTCCGCACCACACAAGGCCAATTTCTTACATGTTACAGTAACGGATGCACAGTGTCCGCGACTGCAAAATCGGCTTCCTTGGCGGAAACATTTCAGATCGAAAGAAATAACAACGGCCGAGTTCATATTAAAACAAAGGGTGGAGCCTATCTGCAGGTATTATACTTAGTTCCTTCATGTTTGAGTTGATCCATGGCATTTGAAGTAGTAAAAGTTGATGTGAATGTGTTGCTTTTGTTATAGGCTACCATAGATAATCAGCTGACAGCAGATTACCCAGGAAATCCGGGATGGGATGATAATGCAGCCGTGTTCGAAATGTCGATTGCGGCAAATAACTTGCACGGTGATTATCAGCTTGCTAATGGATATGGATATAGCAAGGCGAAAGAGGTTCTCGAGGTACTGTAATCACTTTCTAGGCTATCTATTTCATTGTTGTTCTCGAGCTAACGCTTCTTCGTCAATGGAACTGCAGACACATAGAAGAACTTTTATCAATGCAGGAGATTTCGAGTTTTTACAGAAAACTGGAATAAATACCGTACGGATTCCGGTCGGCTGGTGGATTGCATATGATCCGAATCCTCCGCCCGTTTATCGGAGGAACGTTAGCAGCTCTTGATAATGCATTCTCATGGGCACAGTAAGTCCTTATTTCGCTTCTCTTTGTTGGAATGCTACAATTTGAATCTTCACTACGCTTGATAAGTATGTTGAAATTTCGATGCAGGACCTATAAGATAAATTGCATAATCGACCTTCATGCGGCACCTGGCTCCCAAAATGGAATGGAACATAGTGCTAGTCGAGATGGCACGACAGGCTGGACTACATTGGAATCGGTTTCGCAGACATTGCATGTCATAAATTTTCTAGCTTCCAGGTAACTCCCAACAAGTTATCGGCTGGTGTCTGCGGATTCGTGGCTGCGTAAAGTTTAATCCCATTGAGTCATCTTGCTTGTTGCAGGTACGCAAACCATCCGGCCTTACTCGGAATTGAGCTATTAAATGAACCATCTGCAGCATCAGTTCCATTGGATATTTTAGTTGCATATTACAAACAAGGGTATGACATCGTGCGGAAACACTCACCGTCAGCGTACGTGATCGTTTGCCAAAGAATTGGCAATGCAGATCCGATTGAACTTTACAAGGCCGATATAGGTTCCCACAATGTAGTGGTAGATTTGCATTACTACAACCTCTTCGACCCGTATTTCGTCACCTTGAGCCCTATCGATAATATCCAGTTCGTTTACAAGAACAGGGAACCTCAGGTACAAGCTCTGAATGCAGCAGACGGTCCACTTGTTTTCATCGGTAACTCAATAAACTTAGATCATGTTCTATGATTCTGTGAGCTTCTATGTGCATTATCAGTAGACGTTTTCCGTGCTTCCTGATGCGGTTTATGCGTTTTTGTTCGGGTTTCGGTTTAGGCGAGTGGGTGAATGAGTGGAATGTTACAAATGGGACACAATCAGAATATCAAGACTTCGGAAAGGCTCAATTAGAGGTGTATAATGTAGCTTCCTTTGGTTGGTCTTATTGGACACTAAAAAATGACAGAGAACACTGGGATTTTGAATGGAACATTAGGAACAACTATCTGCAATTCAGTAAATATTCTAAACACTATTCTCGATTAAGTGAAGCACCGTATCCTGTATCCGGCATCCGTACCCAAGTCTGTTTCTGAACTGCATGTGACCTACATTCTTGCAGGTAATTCACAGAAGAACATTTTCAACAGACTATTATGGCTTTTACTTGCCTTGATGTGGTTCCATCGGTGTTGAATATCACGACGGACGACATTGCTCGAGACTCGGACGTGACAAGGACGATCGTGCACAGCCTTTTCGTTTTCTTTTCAATTTCCCCCCCCCCCTTACGTTCATTGCTTCAGCAAAATAACCATTTCATTCATTTTGGCAAATTTGGAAGCCTAATAATAGTTAGAGCAGAGATTATCCATTAAAAAATGTGTTTTTTCATATATTTTAAGGATTATATTCCTATATTTATGCCAAAATATATGTAACTTGGCCCATTAAGTGGTTGTAGTGATAAAAAGGAGTATTGGTTTTTAGAGGTCATTGGAGGAATTATATATATAAGATGTACGTATATTGCTAATGTCTTAAAAATATTTTGAATAGATGATGTTCGTAATTATTTCAAATTATTAAAAATATGTTGAATATGATTGTTAGAAAGATGAAACGGTCAAAATTCTTTGAATACGAGTCGAAATGAAAGAGAAATAAAAATGTGGGCAAAATATATAAAAGAAAAAGTACACAAATTTATCTAAAAATAACAAACGCGTGCGGTACATATCGAAGACACGCAATTACATGAGCTGGGTGATAGAGACGCACGTATATTAGTCTTATGTTCATTCACTTAATAAATGCATGTTTAAAATATTATATTTAAACACTTGAAAACTCACTCATCTAAACAATATGAGCTAATGCATGTCCATGGTTGCCTTTACTCGACCTAACTCGTGCTTGCACTCGTGGAATTACTTATCTTCGACACACACCGTGCGCGTTTATTTTATTGAATAAAATTTGTATAATTTTCTTTCATATTTTTCTTCTTCTTCCATTTCAACTTAACTTAAAAGTTCTAATCCTTTTATCATGCAAGTAGAAAATACTTTAAGTAGAAAACGTCTTCACTAACTTGTCATAAGAGATGCTAAATTATTTGAATAAAAAAGTCTATGATCAATTGATAACTGAAATATAAAAATAAAAGTTGAATCACTAAAACTAAAGAAACTCAAGTGACTACCGGTGTAGTTTACACAAAACATAAAGGCTTAATTATAAAATAATTACCTAAACTATAATGATTTTCACAAATAGGTGTCTAAACTATTTTTTGAATGATCTTGGTGCCTAACGTTACAAACGTTATCACTTTAGGCATCTGAACTGTCAACGACGTTAATTTTCTCCGTTAAGTGACATGTGTCACAATCTGGTAATTTTAAATTTTTTTATTTAAAATTATATTTTAAAAAAAGAAAAACACAAATTTTGAAAACATTTATTTTTTTCTAAACCTAGGTTAGTCGTCGCCCTTTACTATTGACGAAGCTTCACCGAACTCACCTTCCCTCGACGACCAAAACTCAAATGAAATTATGACCTATTGACGGTCGATCGACGACGAATCAACGTTTTATACCCCACGAACCCTAGGATGAAAATCACGATCTCACGTGATTCCAACGGCTAATCGGCGGGAACTACAACGACGTATGACTAGGAGGATGGTAGGGACTATGTCGACGACACTGTTTGTGTCCGGAAAAAGTGGAGTTGGTGTGTTAAGGTTAAAATTAGGATTTGGGGATTTTTTTTGTAATTTAAGAGAAATTAGAGTTTTTTTTATAAATATAATAATATTTTAAATATCTTTTTAAAAAATAAATTTTAAAATTATCAGATTGTGACAAGTGTAACTTAACAGATAAAATTAATTCCATTGAAAGCCTGATACCGAAGTGGTAACATTTGTAACGTTAAATATCAGAATCATTCAAAAATTAGTTTATACATCTATTCATGAAAAACACTTCTATAATTTGTACTCTTATTTTATATTTAGGGTTAATTACGGGATGATCATTTATGTTTCTGTTTTGTCCACTTTTTATCACTAATTTCAAAAAAATATAAGATATGATCACTTTCATTTTTATTTAATTAAGATATGATTATTTTCGTTTTTATTTAATTAAGATGTGATCATCACGGGTTAATTGTTGTTAACAATTAATAGAAGTGACATGATAGTTTGTATAATCACACATTTGGTCCAAGCTATTTGCATATTCTCTCAATTTAGTTATACTTTTAAATAAATTTTAACATAAAATATATATTTTTAAATGAAAATAAAAATAAAATATTTTTAGATTAATAATAAAATATATTTAATAATTTAATATAAAAATATTTTTTAAGTTAATATATATAAAATATTATGAATTTAAGTATTTATACACTAAGATACAAAATATATAAATAATGTTGTATACTTTAGACCCAACAATGGTCTTGGCTTAATGGTTGAATATTTAATCTCCTAAGTGATCGAGGTTTTAATCTTTTTTCCCCAATTTATTTTCATTTGTTTTCTTTCAACCAAAGGGTGAAACATCACTCTTTGATTGGTGAAAATAAATATATTAAATTAAAATCGAATGGTGACTCATGACATGATTCGATTGGAGGATTAAATTTATTTTAATTTATTAAAAGTATGACTAAATTGAGAGAATATATAAATAAAAGGACCAAATATGTGATTATATCATAATATTTAAATAATGTTAACGACAGTTAACTCAAAATGATCACATCTTAATTAAATAAAAAAGAAAATGACCATATCTTATGTTTTTTAAATCAGTGACCAAAAGTGGATAAAAAACAAAGATAAGTGATCATTCGTGTAGTTAGCCCTTATATTTAAGCCAAACATAAAATACTGACAAGACTTGGCTTCCACTAATGCACATCCATTCCTAAACTCAAGGAATCAAATATGTTTTAGCAAAACAGTAAGCATAGAAGAGTGAAATGGTGGGAAATCAAGTACAGAGGAGGAAGAAAACGAGGGTTTTATGCCTCCATGGATTCAGAACAAGTGGTGAAATCCTGAAGAAAATGATAGGAAAATGGCCTGAATCCGTGTTGGGAAACTTTGACTATGATTTTCTCGACGGTCCATATCCCGCGAGAGGAAAATCCGACGTTGAGTCCCTTTATGATCCACCTTATTATGAATGGTATCAAGTCAACAAGGTTTGATCTTTCAATTTCAATATCTTATTTTTTTTCATGATTGGATAATCTTTTTTTTTTGTGTGGATAAATTTGTTTTATTCATCCAAAAGAACCAAAAGTACAAATAAAATATCAGTTTTTTTTTTTCAGATTGAGTGTGTGCATTTTGAGGAATGTGTTGCATATATTGAAGATTATATGATTAAACACAGTCCCTTTGATGGTCTACTGGGATTTTCCCAGGTAAATGATTTGATAATTGAAATCACTGGAAGGAACCCTTTTTTCAGTTTTCTGATTAAAATTAACGGTTGGGCAATTTTATGGATTTCAGGGTGGAATGATTGCATCTGTAATTCCTCCACTGCAAAGAGAGGTTTGTCCTTTGAAGCTTCTTTGAGAATCAAGATGAGGGTATTTGTAAATTTGAGTGATTTTTGCTTGAATTTTTTATTTGCAGGGGATTGCTTTCACCAAAGTGCCAAAGATAAAGTTTGTGATCATAATATCAGGTTTTGCACTTCTAGAATTGAAGTCCGGACCGCCTAAATTGCTTGCTGATGTATATTCGGTTCCAATTGACTGCCCTTCAATTCATATGATTGGCAAGTTTATGACTTATTCTTGCAGTTTTAATTGCCTTCGTTTAGTTCTATTACATTTTGGGTAACCAAAGTATATGTTACTCGACCTCGGTGCGGACGGGTGTCAAGCAAGGGATGTGCCCATCATGGGTATGTGACTATAATCTTTTCAAAATTTTAATCTATTTGGAGAGTTCTTAGAGGATGATATTCATATTTCTGTGTTTGACATAGATTAAACCTGCTAATAATAAGTTAACAAGAAGGTGCAAAAATGCAGCAAGGAAAGAGGGAAAACATAAAAGATGTTCTTTGTTGGCATTAGAAATAGAGGAACTCCCAATGCTTGTTATGATACCATAAAAGATTACGGTTGCTATTGTACAAATATTGGCTGACAAGAGCTATGTTACTCGTACCAGGATATAAATATTAGATTCGGATATGTTCATCTTTTTTTTCAAGTTTTGCCGTGTATTTGGGAGTCTTTGGAGAGTTTTTCCATGTATTGCATACAGGCATTGGAATTGGTTGCTTTAAAATGAAGAGTCTAAACAACGTAGTATATAAGAAGTAGAAATCTACAAGTTTTAGCAGTTTTTCTGGCAAATCAACCGTATATTTTTGTCAACCTTGAAGGCTATACAGTAAATGAAGTCTCAAACATCTGGATACAACAAACCTTGGCATAAGCTTTGGAATTTCTTTGTTCTTCAGTGAAGTTGTTAGGTATAAATTTTAGAATGCAACATACTTTTGTGGTCAAGCTGATAGGCCAGACATGATACATGAATCTGGTGTGTCTGATACGGGTATGTGTCCTTTGTTCAATTTTTTCTGAGTTTTTTCTCATGTATTTGGAGGATCCTTGGAGGATCGAATCTCTGTATTCATACCCAAATGCGTGTCGAATGTAAGTATTGGACATTGGTACTTAAAGCAGAATGAAGATATTCTTCTGAGTTTTTTTCCCATAACAGGAAAACGAGATTGAACTTGTTTCCTATGAACAATTTTTATGGAAAACTTCACAAAAGATGATTCAATCTCAAGATATTCTTCTGGAAATACGAACAAGTTAATTACACCTGTAAGGAAGTAAGATCCAGTGAAATCACATTTTAGTTGCAAAATTTGCAATTTTGCTCATAGGAAACAAGTTCAAACTCGTTTTCCTGTATGGGAATTGTCTTGCATTGCTGATAATTACTTGTTTATCACCTATATTTTCTTTATACTCGATGTTTAATCCTGAAACGAAAAACAATAAGAGCTAGTTTTAGGACTTGCAATTCCTCCATTCTCTGAAAATGCCAATTTTCTTTTTCAGGGGAGAAGGATTTCCTGAAGGAACAAAATTACAAGCTAATGAAATTATTTGTGAACCCCTTTCTTATTCAGCATTCAGTAGGGCACACCGTGCCGAGACTCGGTTAGTATTGCTACCCTGCAACATTTTCCTGGAAAACGAAAAGAGCCCCGCCTTAGCTCTATGCTCCGTCTCTGAATGATCGAGGTCGTGAATCCCATACCCTTTTTCTTCTCATTTTTCGTTTAAATTGTAACAGATGAGAAAGGCCTGGAGACTATGAATAAGTTCATGGAGAAAATCCAGGAGATGTTTCCACAAGAATTGCAGAGTGGCTTAGGACTAAAGTCTGCATTATAGGTTGGCTTGTTTTGCTGCCCATATCAGATGAGAAAATAACCTGGCAATTATTAAATCTTATGACAAACAATCTCAATTTGTATAATTGATCATCATTGAATTGATTTTCATGGGTTAAATCCCTTTGTTTCATCACTGAATTGATTTTCATCGGTTCAGGAATGTTGTATTACTATTTTAGCTCTCAACACGAAATCTCTGGCCTTGCTCTTTTCTCGATCGATAGTATTTTATCTAAAGTTTAAGGTCAAATTAGTATTTTATTTAAAATTTAGGAGCCAAGTTAAAATTTAAATAATTTTAATAACGTTTTACATCATCAAACCAACAATAACAAATGCTTCGGAAACAGAAGTGATCATAACATAAAATTTTTAAAATAAAAATTGTTTATGAGCGATTAATATCGAAAGATTGAAAGTTATATTTTAACAGATAATGTTATATACTAACTCATATTATTTAAAAAATAAAATTTTTAAAATTAATAATCAAAATAAGATAGATTGAAAAAGAAAACCCTAGAGAAGGCACCATTAATATATATACAGTTTGCCAGTTCCACACACTGCTATTATATCTCGTTTCACTCCAAACACATGGAGCTGCTCGCTACCACCCCCATCCGTTCCATTTCCACTCTTCCGTCCATCACCTTCTCCACCTTAACCCCGTCTGTTCGCCGTCGTCTCTGCCCTCCGCCGCTCTCTGGCTCTACCTCCATCCGCCTCCGTTCCCGTACGAAATCCCTAAACTTGAATCCTCTCCTTTATAATTCCTTGTCTTTTTTTGAAACTCAAGTCTTTGTAAGTAGTACTTCATATCAGAAGCGCTGAATGGTTTCTATTTTTGTAGGGGTTTTGACTTTTAGTAATCCCTTGCCTAAAGCAACAGCATCGGATGAAGCCTCCTCCACCGGTCCGAACCGGGTTTTCGGAGAGGATCGCGATGGCGTTGCGAGTTTGGAAGAAGTTTCGGCGGTTGAGAAGAATGTTGTCAATGAAAACCTGTCACCGGAAGAACCTAAAGTAAATTCAGCTTCCGATGAGGAATCGCAGATGTTTGAGTTTTGGAGAAGCTTAATATAAGGTTTATCCATTGCTTAATCACTTATTTTGGATGCATCATAGTTTCAATTGGACTTCTGATAGGAAGAATTAATTTTTAATATAATGAAATGTAAGATTGATTGCTTGGGTTTGGCTGAGACGATCTTTGTAGAAACAGAAAATTCACTAATGTGGTTCATTTCTTATTTCGATCTGTTGTTAAAATGTGCCGTATCGATCAAATTTTCACTCATTGGGAGTTGCATTTCTGGTGTCAGAATGGATAAAATGAAGCGTTATAGGTTCTTTTACTTGATTATTTATGTTACTGACTGCAAAATGAACTTCTGTTCTACTTTTATGCCCCTTTTCATAATCACATTGAGTCTCAATAATGAGATTTGGAATCAGTGGAATGCATTTGTTGAATGCTTGATGAAACGATCCTGAGTTGTTATGTGGGCAGCCTATTACTTTTATCATCTTGCTACCTTTTCATCTTATTTTATTTTATTTTGTTTTATGTTTTATTCAATGTTATTCGACCGTTGGGTTACAGTGATGAATTTTTGGAATCAGTGGAAGGCATCTGTTGAATGCTTGATGAAACTTTCGACCATTGTGTCGATCCTGAGTGGTTACCTGACCAACCTATTGACTTAATTGTTGTGCTACCTATTCATCTTTATTTTATTCGTGTTATTGAATGTTATTTTGACCATTGGGTTTGCAATGATGATGTTTTGGATACAGTGGAAGGCATTCATTGAATGCTTCATGAAACTTTCGACCATCGTGTCGATCCTGAGCGGTTACCTGAGCAACCTTGTGATTAATCATCTTGCTTTCTCTTCATTTTTTCTTTTTCCCTATGTTATTCAATGTTACTTGAGCTTTGGTGCAAGTGGTAGATATGGATATGTAATTGGCACAAGTATGTTCTGTTATTTCAAGTTTTCCCGTGTTTGGAAGATCCTTAGAGGTCATATTCCCGTGCTAATATCCAAACGTGTGCCAGATATGCACTTATGATATAGGTTCTTCAAGAAAAATTAAGTCTGAGTATCTTAAGAAACCGAGTTTCTTAATTTAGAGTTACACTGCTCATTTTCCTTAAATGCTCGTGTTTAACCTTTGATGTGTGAAGCGTTTTCATATTCCTATTGTTTGCTCCATTTTAGGTATGATGCTTTTCTAGGACTAGAATGGAATGAAAAGGAAAAGAAATATCATATTTTTTACTTGACCACTTATGTTACGACTGAGAAATTAACTTCCGTTGGATTTTTATGCTCCCTTATCGTTATCAAATTGGGTTGCAATGATGAGGTTTAGGAATCAGTGAAGGGCATTTGTTGAACGCTTGATGAAACGTTCGACCGTTGTGTGGATCCTGAGTTGTTATCTGAGCAACCTAGTGACTTAATCTCTTACCTTTTCACCCCTCATTTATCCCTCTCGCTGAAAGGCATTTGACTTCTTTCATGAATTTGCAATTTGCTTGCCATGATGATTAGTAGAACGTATGAGAGTTTTGTGTAAGTTTGCTTCTTTTTTCGCTAGTACTTTTCATCATTGTGGTTTCCAAATCAATTCTAATGATTGGATATCTAAATACTTGCAGCTTGAAAAAGAAGATGCATATTCAATCATATTATATGGAAGTGGTGCCTTGGTTGCTTTGTGGCTAGCATCTGCTCTTGTTGGTGCTATCGATTCAATCCCATTGGTGCGTTTTAAACCGAATTCCAAGTTTCTTTGGACGATGAGTAAAGCATTTCATGTTCCCTATGATTGACAGATCTAATTCTAAAATCCAGTTCCCTAAATTGCTGGAGGTTGTGGGACTTGGCTACGCAATCTGGTTCACCTCCCGATATCTGATATTCAAGGTAACCACCGGCGGTTCTAAATTAGCACAGCATGACATAAAGGGAAGTATTAAATCCATATTTACTCGCAATTTTGCAGAAAAACAGGGAGGAGTTGGCTACTAAAGTGGAACAACTTAAGCAGCAGATCCTTGGCTCAGATTGACAATTGATATAGGAACGATTTGGTTCAGTGTGTTTTGCTTGTTACATAAAAAAGGAAGAAGAAGCAGAGTTGGAGATTTTCTGTAGTTTTTATTAGGATACAAATATGTCAATTACCGGAACTAGTTAAAAGAGCATCAAGATAAAAAGTTTTATTTTTGGGGGGGTTTCTTTTCTAATATCAGCTGATATTTTGAGACTTGTCATTCATAAGTGTATGTATCCAAATACCAGCGCCAATGACGACCCGTAGGGGACATGTCCCTCAAAAATTGGAAAAATTATAATTAGGACCTTTGATTTTTTAATTTTTTTATTTGGTCCCATTAAATATTTCAAAAAAGTTGTTTTATCATTTTAAAATTGTTAATATTTCACACACATATATAAATTAAATTGGTATTCTCAAAATAGAAATTATATAATATATAATTTAAATTGTCATTGACAAAAGTAAATACTTTTTTTTTTACATTTTATTCAGTTGCAAGTAAAACTATCAAAAGTAACAAATTATCTTCTTCAGCTCATTCTCTCCGCCGTTCCCTTGCTTCAAACGGTCAGTTTTCAACTCACCTCCGTAGCGACAGGTTTTGAGAAAATGAGTTTCCGGCCTTTGGTTTTTCCCGATCATTCTTCGGATGGTTAGGTCATGGTCTTGTGGTGGGTTGAAGCCAAAGTTGGAAGCCTTTTGAGTGAAAGAGAAGATACTATCCATGGGGGGAGTTTAACAGGGCTTAGAATGGCGGTTGCTTAGCGGTGTCGCCGCCTTCTGCCACCGACGAAGGCTTCAATAGCAGTGTGAACAAGTTTGGTTTTAGAATCGGAACACTGAAACAAATGTAGTGGAGTGATGCAGAGGCGGAGAGCCGACAACTCAATATCTCGAATAAATCTTATTAGGGTTTAATAAAAAATACCATATTTTGAAAAAGGAGGCTTGCCCGGCTGGAATGGATATATACGTCAGCAAAATTTCAGAAGAACATTCTTCTTCGGTAAGTAATAAGTAATTCTATTGGGAAGTTTAAGGGATAAATTGTGAACTTAAAAATTATATAGAGAAGTATATATTGTAAAGTTATCAAATTATATTTGATAATTAAATTAATAGAATATTTGTTTGGAATTGATTGATCGTCAATTATTGTGTTTTTATTATTGAATAAGTAACAATTATGTTTTTATTTTCTATTTTGTTAGAATAAGACATTCACTAGATATCAATTACAAGTGCTTCATGGGCAATAATAATAGCCACCGTAGCTATGGGTTCGTCAAATAATAATAGACATGACAAGTTATAATTCATATATGTTATATGGACTGTGACCATCCAGCTCAGTTGGTAGATCATAAGGTTCTTAATTTTGAGGTCGTGGGATCGAGTCCCATGAAGGACATTTCATAATTTGGCAGCCTACTATCTTATTTTTCCCTTATCCCATTACATATGGGAACAAGGGATAATCATTTTTTTATATGGAATGTGTTAACACCGTGAACTGTCACGTTAATACTATAATTATTAATGATGAAAAAACATTAGTCAAATAATCATATTTGGATACCAAAACTGAATAAAAGTAATAGTTTAGATACTAAACCTATAATTTACCCTCCTTTTATTATTTTTCTCCAAATGTGACCCTCCAACTCAGAAAATAAATCCAATGTGTCCCTTTGACCAACGTTTTCTCCATCATTGACCGTTATGGTGCTGACATGACAGTTTATAGTAGTTAATAACGTGATGGTTGACATGACATATAAGCTAAATTTATAACTCAAACATAGCATATGGACTGTTATGTCATCACCGTGAACCGACATGTTAGTATTGTAATTGTTAACGACGGAAAAACGTGATGCTTTAATTGTTTTTTGATTTAGAAGCCATATTGAGAGAAAAATTCTACTGTAGAAAACAAGCCGGCTTCAGCTTATAACAGCATTCGGATCCTATTCCGATCCTCAAATCTTGCAGGGAATTTTATCTTCAGTTTCACTCCCATGGCGAGTACAGCCTGCAGCCAAAACCCAAACATTCTCAACAGATCTTTCACCGATTGGTTAATCTTTTTGGGTGTCAACAAACTGGAACAGGGTTTCATTTTCCCTGGCACCAAATAAGGCCACGGGACAAAATTTCCAGTCAAAATTGAATGTTGGGTAGGGTAGGGTACAGCACATAATGGTACCAACTATTGTTCTTACTATTCTTGGATGCCTTCTTTTCAAAAATTCAATCATGTCAATATATATACTGTTTCAGATATTCTGAGGGCACATTTTTCAATCCCCCACAATTATTGGACCCCAAGCACCCAAAATATTTTAAAAAATATATTATTGATATTGTTATTATTTTTAATAAATTAATAAAATATTTATCGAAAATATTATTAATTTTATCTGTAAAAAAAAATCGGAAATAATTGGGTTAGGGAACAGAAGAAGGAAAGAGATGGATAGAATTTATGGTGCCGGGTGGGCAGGCAACAAATGTGCCTCCTGCCTTGAGTCAAGGAGACTCCATTGTTGAAATCTCACTCATTTTACCAATCTAAACCAGCTGGAAAAATATGGGACGAACACAAAAATGGCCCCAACAGGCTCAATCATCAATGTGTATTTTGTAAGTTATCCATACATATCATATTCGAGAGTGATCCGAAAAGCGCCATCTACGACGCGCCTGTTGGCAGAGGAGATTGTGAATGTGGGCTGCTGGACCAGCCTTCGGATATGAGGCTAAGGGGTGACGATTTCTTGCAGCTACCTGTGTTGCTTGTTGTGTTGGTTAGGACCTCTCCTAAAGGACCTCCCATTGAACTTCCCCAAGATATTGGTATCCAGTGAGCTTGATTTTGGTTCGGATCACTAACATCTCCATTGACAACTGAACCCATTTTGATTGGATCGAACTCCCGAGATAACCTAAGGGGCGAAAGGGCAAGCTTCTCTTGGGCGGGTGATGACGAGGATGATGAGAACTCGGAAGATGTCATAGGAATAGACATAGAGAGTTGAGTCCAGTCCGTTCTTAACTCCCCTGGCCAAGTAATAACGGAACTGATAGGTTCATCCTTGGGCCAGTCACCGATGAAACGGTGATGCGGATTTTGTTCTTGGGTTTCTTGAGAAGTAGTGAAGTCCAGCAGATGACCACACTCTTTGGAATCCATGTTCGAGCTTCCGTGCGAGAGATTAACGAGAGAATCAAAGGTGACATGTCCGAAATCTGATTGAGAGGATTCTGCAAAAGGAAAACCTTGTTTCGTAATGGTAAATGTGGAGTTGTTGGATTTCAGGTTGGTGGTGGAAGACATCACAGACAAAGCCCGCGGATCTTGTACCCTGCCACACAAATCCTCTTCGTTTAAAAAACCTTAAAGGCATGATCGAAATACGGAAAATCCGACCACAACAAAAGTGATTAAAAGATCAAGAACTTTGATTTTAATCAGTAATGCATACGATTAATCAAAATCCGTACCGACGGAACGCAGAAGAAATCATTAAAATGCTTCAATAAAGAGAATCCTAAGTCCCAACAACAAGGTGTTGTCAAGTCACCAAAGTAAAGATGAAACAATGGGGTCTACTTTAAAGAGAAAAGAAAAGAGCAGAATGTATCCCTACTACTGTTCAAAGCAATACCATCCGAATCCGATAATACAAATGCAAGCGACTAAAGCAATCTCGAATTCATGATCGATACTGTTACCTGTTGACAAGGGAGTTCAGTGAATGATCAATAGCACCAGATTGCAAGTTCTTAAACCGGTGCTGCTGTGCTATCGTGAGGCTGCTGGATGCACCGCCGTCGGATATCGCCGATGCAGACATTGAGGAAGACATCGGCACCGCCTTCAGATTTGCGGTCCCAGAGGAGGCATGGCCAGTCTGGCCTTCCACAGGCTTTCTTGAACGATGGCGGCCCCTATTTATGTGCCTTTCACAATACTTTTGATCGAGAACAGCGTCCCGGGAGCACTGCCATTTCTTTCCATCGGTTCGACGACACCTCCCCGGTTCAGGGTCAGTGCTGCCCGAGTACCCCAGATGGAAAGAGCCCCATCGCACTACATAAAAGACAAGCAAAAAATAGATAAAAAGGATTCAACATCAAAACTATTGTTACTTCTTTTAGCTAAAATTACTTTTGAAATAAAAATATAAGCAGAAAACTTTGAGATCACTGCAAAATCCAAAATTCCCTGTTACAAACAGCAAATAGGATATGGGAACTTACATGAATTGGGGGGCAAAGATCCAGCAGAAGAGCTGGCGAAGCCATAACGATAAAGGGATTCTGAGAGGATGATCAAATTGGAAGGCACAGCCACATTACAAGTGATGTATTTGTAGATCAATGCCTGGTGTTGTAACTCAGTCAACTGAGTTGGAGTTAATGGCCCTCTGAACCATTAAAACCCTCATGCATGCTTCCACAACTATAACCTGAACCACAACATTTAAGTATTGAACCATAAACGTTAAAAGACAAGAAAAAAAGCAAGTAAAAAAGACCCTTTTCAGCACAAACCCCAAAACCCATCTTGTAAAAACCAGAAAACCAAACCAAACATCCCAAAGAACCAATCTTTTTTTTCTGGACACAATCCATCAAACAAGTTACCTGCTTGGGTGTATGTTCATAATAAGACAAACCACTGTTATGTGTACCCATCTCCAAAAAGTCACCATCTTTGTTAATGGAAGGAGGTCAGATTTGAGTGAAGAGAAGCTCAACATATGCTCTTGGTGGCCACGAGAATTAGATCTCAATGGCATTGTCTTGGGACTTAACAAACCATCACTTCTTTGAAACTTCGAACATTTCCAGTGATCTTCAGCTGAGTCAGAACATCTTTCCTGCTTGGGAAACCCAGATCCAAGAAGCTTAGGCTGAGCTTGAGATGGAGCTCCATTTGCAGGACCCGTTACACCATCCGAATCCGGGAACCCGAAATCCATCTTTGGAGGAGGGACCAATCAAAACAGCCTCTAAGAAGTATGAGTTGAAGGAGTGTTTGAAAACGTTTAAAGAGAGGCTAGGGGTGGCAACGGTGCGGGACCGTTTTGTATTATCCATTTCGTACTCAACACTTATAGATATAATTTTGGGAATCTCATTATATATTTAATAGATTTTTTTCTCATACTCATACTTTATAGTTTCCTGCAATTTCGGTTAATCCTTATAAAATATATTAGATTATCTCAAATTGATATCTATCTATAATATAAAACTTTTTTTAAATTTGTATAATATGAATCAATTTAAATTAATTAAAAATGGTTGTCCCTTGTTCTCATATGTAATGGGATAAGGGGGAGGTAAGATAGTAGGTTACCCCCAAAACACTAGGTTGAAAGCAGCTTCCGTAGGAGACCTCCAAATTATGAAATGCCCTCCATGAGACTCGATCTCACGACCTCAAGGTTAAGAACCTTGTGCTCTACCAACTGAGCTAGATGATCATAATAATAGGAGGACAGAAAAAGCATGACAATAACTTCTTTTGACTCATATGTATATTATAAAAATATTATTTATATACATTTAATAAGTTAAATAATAAAGTCTCAATTCTCATCAATTTGTTTGATTTTTTGTTGTTGTATTCCCGTTCCAAGATTTTGTTAGGACCGAATTTAATCCAGATATATATTGTGCATTTGAGATCATAACCAAATTTAAAATCGTACTTCTGTGGACCGTTTTTCCTCTTATATATTATCCATCTTCCTCGTTTTCCTTATTTTACTGAAACATGTACTTTTTTTTTTGGATAATTGAATTATTTTATTACCCAAAGGAGCAGTGTTCTATTACAAAACAATCAACAATGGACAAACAACCCAAAATCAAGAACAACCTATTCACAAAACAGAGTATAGGTTATTCAATATTCAAGTTCTTACAAAGAGTAATATTAACGCTATCAAGTCTATTAATATTCCGGCCTCTAAGTTGAATTCCAACAATCTCCTTGATAGCTTTAAGAATTTCTGTTGCGTTTCTGGAGATTCCTTTGAACAACCTTCTGTTTCGTTCCTCCCATATAGAGTATAAAAATGCACACCATGCAAGCTTCAAAATTGTGATAAGTAGGGATTTACCTTTCCAAGTATGAGAAGTCGATGCTAAGAAGGTGTTCCAGAACAAAGAAGGTAACCTTAATCCGGAGAGTTGTAGAATGGCTTGCCAAAGGGACACCGCCAGAGGACATTCAAGGAATAGATGGTCTCTTGTCTCCCGATCCTCATTGCACAGAACACACCAGCCATCGGTTATAATGCCCATTTGTTGAAGCCTATTCTTAGTTGGCAGTCTGTCCAAGATAGTCATCCAAGCGATCATGCTGTGTTTTGGTATGTGAAGAGGGAACCAAATTAGATTGTGCCAAGTTACTTTGTCCCGCTTTACTCTAATCTCATCCCATATGGCGCGAGTCGTCTTTGCTCCCGTTGAAAAAACAGTTTGTGCTTCTATTTTAAGTTTTAACAGTTTCCTGAAGCTCCAACTAGCATTAGTTCCACCTTCTGTGTGCCAGAAGTCTCTGTCTTTTAACAAGTAGGATTTGATCCAAGCAACCCACAGTGAGCCCTCTCCTGCTAAGATGTTTCTAATGAGCTGAAGCATACACGCTTTGTTCCATGTTTTTAAGTCCTTTAAGCTGAGGCCTCCTTCAGATTTCGAGTTGCATATCAATCTCCAGCTTACTCTAACGCCAGTAGCAGCCTTGTCAGAACCTTTCCAGAGAAAACAAGAACATAGTTGCTCGATCTTGTTTATAATAGACTGTGGTAAAAATAATTGCCTGCACCAGTAGTTAGCAACACTAAATAAGACAGCTCTGATAAGTTCGAGTCTTCCTGCATAACTCAAGTGTTTTCCCGACCAGTGATGGAGCTTGGCTTTGATTTTTTCAATGAGAAGTACACAGTCCTTTTCAGAAAGTTTTCTCTTTACTAGAGGTACCCCTAAGTATCTCACAGGTAAGCTTCCATGTGTGAAGCCCGTGATTCTGTGTATAGTCTCTATAGTATTAATAGGGATACCAGCAGCATAAAATTCACATTTGGCTGCATTAAGTTGAAGTCCAGACATTTCATAGAATTTATCTAGGACACCGATGACTCCTATAACAGATTCCACAATTCCTTTACAAAAGATAAGGAGATCATCTGCAAACATTAAGTGAGTAAGACCTATCTTCTTGCATTTAGGATGGAAGCCAAACATACCTCGTGCCGCTGCTAAATTAAGAAGTCTGGATAGCACATTCATTGAGAGGGCAAATAAAAGAGGAGATAGGAGGTCACCCTGCCTTATACCCCTGGCACCCTTGAAGTAGCCATTCAGACTGCCATTGAAAGAGATGGAGTATCTTGCTTCTGAGTAACAAGCTTTAATCCAATTGATGAAAATAGGTGGGAGTTCCATAGCAGATAGGATAGCGGAAATGAAGCCCCAATGGAGAGAGTCGAAAGCCTTGCGTAGGTTAATTTTCATACATCATCTTGGTGAAATTGATTTCCTTCCGTAGCCCTTAACTAGCTCTTGAGCGAGGAGAGTGTTGTCAACAATACTGCGTCCTTGTACGAACGCAGACTGATTCAAAGTAATCATTTCTGGGAGCAGATTGGTCAATCTGTTGACTATAATCTTGGTAATTGACTTGTACACAACAGAGCAACATGAGATAGGTCGAAAGTCTTGAATCTTACTTGGGTTTGGAACTTTAGGAATCAAGGCAATTGTTGTAGCATTGAAGGCTGGAAGCAGCGAAGATTCATGAAAGAAGTACTGAATTGCATTCATCACGTCGTCTTCAACCACATTCCAACATTTTTTGAAGAAGTATGTGGAGTATAGCCATCTGGGCCTGAGCTTTATCATTTCCTTGATTGAAAATTGCAGTTTTAATATCCTCTGTAGAAACTCCCTTGACTAGATCGGATGTAGCTTCAATTGGCAATTTATATTGCAATAAATCTTTTAGTATATCAGGGTCGCAATTTGTTACAGCGGGATCTTCAGTGCCAATAAGGCTTTTGAAATAATTAATCACCTCGGAGGCCATATCGTCAAAGGATTCTAGTCTACTTCCTCGTTCATCAACAAGCAATCTGATTGTATCCCGTTTATTTTTTGCAGCAACAATGGAGTGGAAAAATTTTGTGCATCTATCTCCCTCCTTTAACCATTGAGCTTTTGCCTTTTGTTTTAAGAACATAAGCTCGGCTTCTTTGAGAGATTTAAGTTCATTTTGTAGAGTAAGCTCCTTAGCGAGTGCGTCATCTCCTCTTAAAGTTGATAATTGCTGCAATTCCAACTCTGATTTCTTTTGCTTGACTCGGGTTGAAATGTCACTGTAGCAATCTATATTAAGTCGCTTTAGGCAACCTTTGAGTCGTTTTAACTTGTAGAAAAGGACTTGCATAGGATTACCTTGAATAGCTTGTTGCCAAGACTGTTGAACCTCATGATTGAAGCTAGGGTGAAGAGTCCAGAAATTGAAGAATTTGAATGGTTTGGGTCTGTTTGCTTGCACCTCTTTGTTGAGCCAAACTAAAGCCATACAGTGATCAGAAGGGCCTGGAGCAAGGAATTCAACAAATGAATTTTGAAATTCTGCCGCCCACAGGGGGTTGATGAGCACCCTGTTAAGTTTCCTTGCAAGGAATGATTCTTGCTGCTTGTTACTCCAAGTGAACAAAAGACCAAAGTAAGGATGGTCGTGTAGAGATAGTTCTTGTGTGATATCGAGGAAGTCTTTCATTTTGGGAGATGAGATAGGGCCGAGTAACTCACAATCAGAGGTTTCATTCGCATTCAAAATGATGTTGAAGTCCCCTCCTAATATCCAAGGGAGATGGCCATACTTGTTATCAATTTCACGCAGCTGATGCCATAGAAGTCTACGAGTAATTCCATCGTTGCTGCCATAAGTTGCAGTAATAATCAGAGGAGCTCCTTGAAAAGAACCTTTGACAATAATGCATTGATCAGATGCGTCACATAATGAAAGGTCCAAGTCTTTTTTCCACAGAATCCAAATCCTACCGTTTAGAGCGAATTCATAATTTGTGCAAGCGTTCCACTTAGCAAATTTAGTTTCCAGCAGACTCGCTGACTTTTCCACTTTTACACGGGTCTCCAACAAACATAATACATCTATTTTATTTTGATAGGCTCTTTGAAGTACTTTGTGTTGTTTTAGAGGGCTATTTAGACCTCTAACATTCTAAAAACAGATATTGATATTCATTGAGGAGGAGAGGCCGAACCACCCACTTTACCTTCTGCTGTTGAGTTTTTTGATCTGTCTAAGTGGTCATTCTTCTTCTTTTTGAGTTCGTTGAGCAGAGTTATAACACCTAAAGCAGCAGTGCGTACTTTCCTTGATTGACTCTCTATGGCAGGATTTTCTTCAATTGAATTGAGGATGGCATATCTGTTTTTTGAGCCTGCCAGGACAACTTTTGAGTAGTCTTTGGTCTGCTTGCCTCTTCCTTGTTTAACAGTTGATGAGATGTTGGTGTCCTGGCAATCATCATTTGGAACAGCTGGATCAGAAGCAGTGGACTCATTCACAGCAGCAGAATTAATGAGGACAGTAGGATGAGTGGCCTCAGTTGTTTCATTCGAAGAAGAAGGTCCATTGTGCACACTGGTGGAGCTACCAACCGGATTTGCAGTAGATTCTTTATCGGCAGTAGAAACGTAAAGGGTTGTGTTTTCAACAACAGAATCGTTTGAGTTTGTAAATTCTGTATAAACTGATTCCTTGCCATTTACACCTTTGTGTATGCTAAGCATCTGTTTGACACTTGAGACAGTATTCGCTGGTTCATGTGAAGCATTTGTTTTTCCTTCTGTCGAGGCTGCTGAGATTGTTTGTGAAGCTCCCTTTTTAATCCAAACTTGATTTGTGGTCGAAGCAGAATTTGTTTTATCCGGACAACCTTTCTCACTATGACCGAAAACCATACATTTTCTACAGCAGGATGGAATCCAAGGTACATCAACAGAAACAGAAGTTGCTTGCCCATCTCTAAGTACAACGTCTATGAATTTTGGGAGTTCATCGTTAACCCCTATTTCAACACAAACTTTGGCATATTCCAGTCTTGATTTTGAAGCTGTAATGGAGTCCATAGAGAGAGGGACTCCTATTGCGCTTGCGATATAGCTTAAACCACTACGTGAATAGAGTTCCAGGGGAACGTTAAACAGTTTAACCCAAACTGGAATTTTTGATAAATCGAAATTGAGTCGTCTAAGGTTTGGTTTCCATTTTCTGAGAATCAATGGCTTGTTGATAATGTGCCAAGGTCCGTTTTCTAAGACACAGTCTCTAGCAGCTTCGGATTTAAAAGAAAAAATGAAGAGGTTTCTTCCTGCTTTACTGACCTGAACTTGAGAACCTTGTAGAGCAGTTTTCCATAATTTGGCAGTGATCTTTTGCAGAAACGAAATTTGGTGAAGCCCCTAGAAATTGCCCGACGAGAGAGAGCTTCCATTCTGAAATTCCGGCTTCAAAGACATCAGATGGAAGTTGGACCTTAGGGATCCCTTCTCGGTTTGAAGGAGGGAAAAATTCCAAATCTTGTCCAGCTGAGCATCCAAACAGATTTCTCCAATCCATCGGAGGAAACTAACTAACGATTGAGAAGAAATAATCATAGACAAATTCGATTTTTAACTGATACAATTTCTGAATTGCTTTTTTTTCAGGTACTCTTGTAGCAAGATTCTAATATAATATTTGATACGGTGAAGAGGACTAAAAATGGAGTCGCATTGCCTGCATGATTCATTTGAGCATGTTACAAAGAAGAGAAAGCTGTCGTATTCAAAAACACTTGAAGTTACAGACCTGATTGTTCAGGAAAACAGGAAGGATCGAGATGGTGCAGTCAAGCACCCATGAATATAAATCCGAACTAGCTGAACTGAAGAAAAAGTTGCAGGAAGTTGCTCCACTCAGTCAGCTAGAAGGAACCCAAAAGAAACTGAACATACCACTAAGCAAGTATCCAAAAGCTCTTGAGAAAGTCCTTAATCCTGATATATCCAAGGCTTATCGAAATGTTGAGTTCGATTCCTGTATAGTTAACCAATTAATGGCCAGCCATTTCTATCGTCGAGGACTGTTCGAGGTTGGTGATTGTTCCATAGCTGAGGCTCGGGATGTAGATGCTGCTGCTGCTATGAAATCACATTTCCAGCAACTTTATCAAATACTCGAAGCCATGAAGAGTTGGGACCTGGAGCCTGCACTGAAATGGGCAGCTTCAAACTCCAATAAACTAAAAGAAAATGGTTCAGACCTTCAGCTGAGACTCCATCGTTTGTAGTTTTTGAAGATACTTCAAAAGGGAAGTAGAGATGAAGCACTCAAGTATGCGATAACAAACTTAGTTTCTTTCGCCGGAAACCACATGGCCGAAATCCAGAAACTCATGGGTTGTCTCTTGTATTCTGATAGACTTCATGAGTCCCCATATGCTCATTTATTATCGCCTACCAATTGGGATTCAGTGACTGAGGAACTCACCTGGCAGTTCTGCAATCTTTTGGGGCAGTCATATGAGAGCCCATTGAGTGTCACAATAGCAGCAGGAATCCAAGCATTGCCACCTCTTCTCAAGTTTATGACTGTTATGGCAGGGAAGAAGCACGAATGGCAATCGATGAAGCAGTTGCCAGTGCCGGTCGAGTTGGGCAAAGAATTTCAATTTCATTCTATATTTGTCTGCCCTGTATCGAAGGAGCAATCAACCGATGATGACCCGCCAATGCTGATGTCGTGTGGCCATGTGCTTTGCAAACAGTCTATCAACCTCGAAGAACGGCTCGAAAAGTTTCAAGTGCCCATACTGCCCGACTGATATCAATTCAACACAATGCAGGCAACTCATCTTTTGATTAAAACCCTAGTATGATAACTTGTTTATATTAAGAAAACTGTTTCCTTTAGACTGAACTGAAAATGCGGAGAACTAGAAATCGTTGCGGTGTGGCCAAAGTGATGAAATGGTGGCAATTGCTGGTCGGTAATGGTGTTGGTGTTAATTGATGAACTTATTGTAAATAGACATTCTTTCCCATCATATACATGCTGGTAATACAAAAAAACCAAGTTGGGTTTTTCTTACATTTACAAAAAAAATCAAGGATGCACTGTTCAGGCAGGGGAAAAATAAAAGCCCTGGATCTGATGACTATACCTCATGGTTCTTCAAGGTCACTTGGGAGATAGTTGGCAAGGATTTTTTAGGGGCTGTAAGGTATTTCTTTCAATCATCCTCCCTTTTACCTGCTTTTAATGCCACCTCCATTGTCTTAGTGTCTAAATCCTCTAATGCATGTATGGCCAAGGAATTTAGGCCCATTTCTTGTTGTTCTGTGATTTATAAGATAATCACTAGGATTCTGGTCACTAGATTAGTTTTGTTCTTTCCTGGTATGATCTCTCCTAATCAATCAGCATTTGTTAAGGGTAGAAACATTGCTGACAATACTTTACTAGCTCAAGAAGTAGTTAGGGGATACTCTAGGAAGAACCTTTCTCCTAGATGCACAATTAAGATTGACTTGCAGAAGGCTTTTGACTCAATCTGTTGGGACTTCTTGATGACTGTTCTTGAAGCTTTGGGGCTGCCTAAGGTGTTTTGTGGTTAGATAAAAGCTTGCATTACTACTCCCAGATTCTCTATTTCTTTGAATGGTAGTTTGGTGGGGTATTTTAAAGGGGCTAGGGGGTTAGGCAGGGTGATCCCCTTTCCCCTTATCTTTTTGTGAGTGTGATGAATGTACTTTCCTCACTGCTAGATGCTGCTGCCAGGATTAGTGTGTTTAGATTCCATCCAAAATGAAAAAAAATTCCCCTCACCCTCCTCTGTTTTGCTGATGACCTTCTTTTGTTCTGTCATGGATCACTGGATTATGTGATGAGGGTGGTTAGTATCTTGGATAAGTTCTATGAGATTTCTGGCCTTAGATTGAATGACATGAAGACTGAATTCTATGCTTGTGAGATATCAAGAGATAAAGTTGAGCTGATTCAGAGAGCCACTGGTTTTAGGATTGGTTAGCTCCCTGTTAGATACCTTGGGGTGCCCTTGGTCACATGTAAGCTCACAAGCAAGGACTGTTCAACCTTGCTGGTGAAAATTAAGGACAAAATTGATAAGTGGTCCAGCAGGAAACTCAGTTATGGGGGTAGGCTTCAGCTTGTAAAATATGTCTTGTTCACCTTGTTTGGTTATTGGAGTAGACAATTAATACTGCCTAAGGGTGTCATTAGGGACGTTGAGAAGCTTTGTATGAGGTTTTTTTGGAGAGGTAGTGATACCCCTGCTAGGGGTGCTAGAGCGAGCTGGAACCAGGTGTGCTCACCAAAATCTGAGGGAAGATTGGGCTTAAGGAAGCTTGCTGACTGGAGTAAAGTATGATGTCTAATGTTTATTAAGAGTATCCTTGCGGGGGAAGGGTCACTGTGGATTGCGTGGATTAAGAGCTATTGTTTTAAGTCTGCTGATTATTGGACTGTTAGTAGTAAACCACAGTTCAGCTAGATTCTCAGCAAGTTGATTAAGTTGAGCGAGGAGGCTGGGCATTTATTTAGCCTGGGGCTAGCTTATCTCAGTTCAAGGGCAGGTGGATATGGGATAGTATCCGTGTCAGAAGTGACAAGGTTACATGGCATAGGGTCATCTGGTTTCCTGCTCATGTTCCTAAGTTCTCTCTTATGGCTTGGATGGTCCTGCTCGACAGGCTGCCTTCTAAGGACAGATTAGGCAGGTTTGGAATTGTGGTTAGCAACAGTTTATGTGTGTTGTGTGGGGTAGGTCAGGAATCTCGAAATCACATATTCCTTGAATGTCCCTTTGCGTCTGAGATATGGTGTGTTGTTATGCGTGACTGCGAATTGAAGCATCAGGTGTTGGGATGCTGGGATTCGTTGGATGATTCTGCACTTTAAGGGAAAATCCCTCTTAGTTCATATCCTCAAGCTTGCTTGGACCGGGTTTGTTTACTCTATTTGGGAGGAACGTAATCACAGGAGTTTTAGAGGAGTGATTCGTTCAGCTGATTCTATTGTAAATAGTATTAGAGAGGCAGTTCGTGTTAAATTGTATAGGGGTCACATTAATAGAGTTGATGATGTAAATAGGCTTTTGTGCCAAAATTGGGGGCTGATTTAGTTGTTTGTTAACGTTTCTTGTAGCAATTGTGTTGCTTTCTTTGGATGAATAAACTTTACTTATAAAAAAAAGAATTTGAGTCGATATCTAATAATCTCTCTATTTATGATTATCTTGATTGTGTTGAATGTGGTAATACTTTGGTATATCACTTGAATGTGCTACGTGCAAATATTGGTTCATTTGTAATGTATCCGAAGAGAACTACTACATTATCCACGGCCCATAGCAGGAGAGAAGGATAAGGATCATGTTGACGATGTTTAAAATTAGGGTGGTCCAAGTGTTTTGATTGATGTAACAAAATAATAGGGTAAACTACATTTTGTCACTCGACTTTGTTTGTGTTTGTCTTTCTCATTATTAGAATCCTTCTCCGTCGCTTTCTAACCTTCGTCGGCTATCATTTCAACATAATTGGTACCAAAATGCTCCCCTTTGCTCTTTTAAATTTTGTTTTCTTCGAAATCCCCTCATAACCGGCAAAATTCAAATTAAAGTTTCAGCTTATCTTAATCCAACCTCTAATCTCTGTCGTTTGATCAGTGTGAAATCTATTATATTGTTTTTATCATTCTTCTTGATCTCCTCACATTCAGATTTGATAGGAAAATTTTAGAATTTTTTTTGGCATACATTTATCAAGAAAAATTAAGCGACATTAAAAATTTAATGATTGAGTGATCAAAACTAGTAAAACTAAAAAAAATTAATCATAAAAATATTACTTTTTAAAATTGAGTGATCAAAGCAAATATATATACAAACTTAAGTGACAAAAATAATTTACATCATGAAGTATTAACAAATTGAGTGACATGGTACAATTATAAGTTTCGTCTTTAATTGTTCAATAGGTATTTTAAAAAAATTATATATAAATAATGTGAGACTTGAAAATATCTTGATAAAAAAATATTAATTTTGAGATGTCAAAAATACTTCTTAAAACTTAACCGCACTTGAAATAGTAAGACAATCAAAAATAATTTTTGATATTGAAATTCCAAATATTTCACAAGACAATAATTGTCTTTGATTATGTACTCATTCAAATCTGATCAAATTTTAATAATAATATATTTTTTTTGTTGACAAAGAACTGAAACTTAACTAGAGGACTCCAGCAAGTATTTCTTTAGAACTTGAAGCAGCTCCATCGGTGGCTCTGAGAAGACGGTGGTTCCGATCTGAATTCCTAATCAAACCCCCTGCTGCCGCCACCTTGTCATTTGGTCGTACTGCACCATCGGAATTCGCTTTGACCCAACCTAGAGGCGGTCTCGACCATTTCGAAGCACCAGGAATCGTTCGTTCCACCGTCTGCGCATCAGTGAGCCGACCAGAAATAACCTCCTCAGCAAACCTCTTGCATCCGGTTAGGTCTTCTCTTTGCACATACTCGGGATCAAATAGAATACTACAACTATTTACCCGAAGGATCCAACAATATACAGCAAAGTGACTTCTCCAATCTTATTTACAAGCCGAAAACATGTCTGATGGATCCAGATACTTCTCGAACCACTCCTTCATGGGCAAGATGAGAAATGTATGCGGCTGACGAGAAGGAATCACCCTTGGCCAAATTTCCTTGGCAGCTTTGAATGTCGTAGAACATGACTTATCGATTCGGCACCTCCTCCACAAATAAGGCAAACCTCATTGTTAGATAAGTTACGAGTTACGACGAACTCTCTCCCCACATTTGTTAAAAGACGATCCTGAATGGCAATCCACAAGAAAGTTCTTATCCTTTGCGGGACCTCAATCTTCCATGCCAAGCTCCAATTAAAACTGTTAACCATGGGAAGCTGCTGATTTAAGGCCATGCACGCTGATTTGGTAGTGAAAACACGATCAGGTCCCCATCGCCAGCTTGCCGAATCGGGGCCTAACCTCTCCAAGGGAGGAAGAGTAGCCGCAATGCGTTGAACAATGTGATCAGGGAGGACATTTTTAATTCTATCCCAATCCCAAGTACCTTGAGGGAGGCACAAATCATGAACTGAAATTGGACTCGGGGATCCTTCTCCGGAATAAAAGAACAGAAGCCCTGTCAATACCATCCCACCAATAATCATACAAAAAAGTCCGTGGAACGTCCATTTCGATCCAAATGATATCTTCATTAAACTCCATCCAAATACACTGCAACCCCTTCCAAAGTCGCGAGCCATTTGCACCAATGAAGTGTAATAAGAAGCGGATCCTCCCATTTATACTTGCTTTTAAGAACTTGAACCCAGAGTTTTATAGGATTAGAAATCAGCGGGTTCCCAATTTTCATAAGATTTTATTAATAATATTTAACAGCTCAAAATCAACAAATTTTTACAATGATATTTTAGAATCCAGTTTTTCCAAAGATAATAGCAAGCATTTGTTTTCGATTTTTATTTTCAGGTAATGTTTTAATCAACGTAGAAATTCATACCATTCTAAGTCGTACATCATGCATTACATACCACGTACCTATCTTCATGATCACAATTATGTTCATATTTTTTTTTAAAAAAGGTAGTTTGTATGTCATTCTTCCATGATAAAATATACAAGACAAGACAAGGGATATGGGCTTCAATAAAAAACCTTCCTATACCTAGTGGAGAAAAAGAGTGCACCTTGCTCGTCGATAAACACAATTATGTTCTCATAATTTCACACGTACAATTCTTTATCGCTATAATGATTTATCAGGGAACTCGCCACTAAGGGATGGAACAACAACTCTCACCTTCCTTCTCCAATGCTCTCCCTGAATTCGGTAATGTTCACTGGTGACAGTATTGGTTGATCATCTGCACTGGTCTTGTTCTTGCTTTTGATGCCACTGTTGCTATGATCCCATGTTTCTGATTCTTCTTCATTCATGAAGTTGCTTGTTATGTCCTTGTAAACCCAGTCAGTTACATAACTTGGTTTTGCTGTAACATTGCTCACTTCACTATCTCCCGCCAGCATACCGACAACACGGGACATGGACGGTCGCATCGACGGCGACGTCTGAGTGCATAAAAGCGCTACCCTCATCACTCGGAGAGCTTCGTTTTCTTCGAACTCCACTAATGTCGGATCAATCAGGCTCAAAAGTTGGTTATTTTCATACAAGGTCCAAGCCTAGACACATTGTAGGAACAAACTAATTAGTAATTACCCTACAGAATCGGACAAATAGTACTGCAAATGGGGAACATATATCTTTCGGGATTACCCTTTCAAGAAGATAAATTCTGTCATTTTCTAAGGTGTTATCACAGTTTGGTCTACCACTTATAATCTCCAAGGCAACAACACCGAAGCTGAAGACATCTACTTTCTCCGTAAGATGGCCGCGCATCGCATACTCCGGTGCCAGGTAACCGCTTCAAGATGATCACATCGCGTCGGTGAGTAATGTTCGAGCTAGTATGGCAGGACTGGTGAACAAAAGGGTTGAAAGTTCTTACATTGTTCCAGCAGCACGAGTGGTGATGTGTGTTTTCTTGTCATCGTAAAGTTTTGCCAATCCGAAATCAGATATCTTCGGACAGAGCTCTGCATCGAGCAGAATATTGCTTGCCTTGACATCCCTATGAACAAACCTCGGCCTTGACTCTTCGTGAAGATAAGCTAGCCCTCTTGCTGTTGATAAGCAGATATTGAAGCGGCTTGACCAATCAAGATGCAAGTCATTTTGTCCTGCATTTATAGTAAAAGGGATCCCAAACAGTTGTTCCATTAATCCACACCAAAAAAGAGCATGGCATTATCATATTCGAATGTTTTCGTACCAAAGAGTGTTTGATCAAGACTTTTGTTCTCAAGATACTCATAAACGAGGAGGCGTCGGTTTCCTGCAATGCAACATCCACATAGTTTGACAAGATTACGATGCTGCACAGCTGATATGGTAGCAATCTCAGTAAAAAATTGTTCTTTCCCATATTTTGTTGCTACGGAAAGTTGCTTCACAGCTACAACTCTGCCATCAGGAAGTGTACCCTAATGCACACTAAAATTTAGTAACATTGTGTAATAAATCATCGTTGCATAACAAGCTAAAACCATAGTTTACCTTGTATACAGGTCCGAACCCCCCTTCTCCTAACTTGTTCGAAGGACTGAAGTTGTTGGTCGAAGCTTTTAACTCGGAATAACTAAATGTGTTTGGTCTAGGGTTGATGCCAAGAAGCACTGCAGAGTCGAGTAAGGCAATTAGTAGGCTGTAACTGCAAAATATGATACATATTTTACGATAAAAGCCGATGTTCTTACATTCCTCGTCGTCGTCTTCTGTTATTTTCTTCATATATATAATTGAAAATATGAGTATCAAAGCCAATGCTACAACAGAAACTGTAACACCAGCAATCAATGCTGTGTGGTTCTTCTCTTTAGGATTTCCAGGCGGTATCCCACTGACATTTGGTGTGAAGTCTGAGAAACAAAAGAGATTTGTTTGAAACAGAGAACTGAAGATAAGTACAGGAAGATCACTTAATGATTCACAAGTGTCGACTTCTCTTACTTGGAGTAGCGCTAATGGCCGAAACGGATGGACCATAATAACCTTGCTCTGGTGTGCAGCAAGTCCCCTTACCAGCCCAAAACAGGTGAACTTCAAGGTGATTCTCAGTTACATTAACAGGGAAATCCATAGTTATTGCTCTTAAAACACCGCCAGCCCACTTCGATATATCGAAATCCCTTAATTGACGTGTTCCCTAATGAAGCATTAACGAAATATCGTAGCAGTAAGTATGTCTAAGTGTAACATTATAGATAGCTTAGAATGATATGAATATTTAAATGAAGCGAAAATATTACCTGAATATAGACGTCGAAAACACGTCTTCCCTGGCTCTCCCAGGACCGCGAGGCACGCTCCGGGAAAGCTGTCTCTGCAAAGAACAATCTTACGGTATAGTGTCCATTTTGAAGGCCTAGGCCATAGTATCTGAGTGACCCAGGGGATAGCCTTGAAGTCTGATAGAGCTCTGGAGTGTTGGTCCTCCTTATTTGTGATAAGGTGTTTTGCACATACTGTTGATTTTTTCTATCTGCAAACAAGCCTACATTGCTAACCGCCCATTTCTGCGTGGCGATCATGTTAAAAGCTGCAGCGCCGAGAGTGCTGTTTTCAGCATCGAACAGTATCCCATTAGACGTCATCTCTCGTCCGCCACACTTGATCGAGAAGTTCGCATCTGCCAATGCCGACATCGAAATGTGTTAGCAAATCATGATAAGCATTGGTCTTGATTAAACGTTATAATTAAGACCTCAAAAACAGATACTGGTTCCAAAGTTTAAGCTAATACATCGTGGAGAATTTCGATTGCACGGGAAGCTTCTTTGAAGGCATTCTAATCCTGGTAAAAGCCTGAGTAATTTCAAAACAATTCCTTGATTAGGAACTTCAAAGAAAGTGCAGGAGAGGAGAAAACTGGGTGCTGCAGGGCAATAACTCACCTTTTGCTTGAGCTGTTAAATGAGAAGTTGTTGGCCACAAGGTTTCTACACAAAATTTCCATGAAACAAGTTTTTTATTGGTATTGATTTTCAATTGGATCCTTCTTTAAAATGTGATATATGTACAACAATGAAGTATCCGGTTTTATGATACATACAGTTGTAAGCCTGAGTTTATCCAAGAAGGCAAGTCCCCTGATAGAAAATTGTACGATAAATCTCTGCATAACGAAGTCTGTTAGTGGACGGTAAGTATGGAAGACGACGTCGACGACTACGGCTAATATGAAATAAACCGGTGTGACAGTGATATAATGAGTGTTACATGGTCCGAAGAGAGTCACTCTTTTGGCTGGGAATGGAACCTGATAGACTGTTACTTCCAAGAAACCTGACATTTCAACACCATGAATGAAGGGAAAGATTTTTCAAGCAATGAAGGGGATGGTTTTCATTTGTTTTTTTTTGTTGTTGCTTACAAGTCTTGGAGAGAATTCATAGTGAACAAAGCAGTTGGAATTGTGCCTGTTAAGTTGTTGAAACTCAAATCCCTGGAACAGAAAGAAATTTGGAACATGAAGCAAGGCAAATATCACATGTTATTGAAGCAGTTAACTTTTAATAACACTTGCAGCTTTTGTAAAGATTGTAATTCAGTGATGTAAGATGGAAAAATACCATTGAGCATGACATTTCTTAGAACCCTACAGGAAAAATTAATATGTTAATCATGTAAATTTAGAAGGAAAAAAAGAAAGAAAACAACTGAACTCACAAGTCATTCAAGCCCTTTAGATTTCTAATGAAATCAAGAGAAGAACTCCCATTGTATATATCTCCGATTCGCCTACACGATATACGAGCGTAATAAACAATACATGTAGAAGAAAAACATACGTACATGCATGATATCTCTACTTACAAAGTAGTCAATGAAGTTAAATTGGCAAGACTGGATGGTATTGGTCCTTCAAATGAGTTCCCTTGAAATCTCCTGCATAAACATTTGACAGATTGATAAAAAAAATCAGGGCAAAAGTTATATCCTTCTGAGTCTTGCAGATTAACCAACATGTTTTCATGACTTACAATTCTATAAGATTGGTCCAGTTATTGCCAATAAAGTCTGGTAATTTGCCTGTGATTGGACAGTCAGATGCCCACCTGAAATTGAACATAGCTTACTGTTAATAAGGTAAGGTAGATAGATAAATTGCAGGACCATGAGAAAAAGGAAATGAAATGGAGACAAGGGTTTTTCTTACACTTTTTGCAGCTTATCAAGGTTAGCAAATGTTGGGGGAATCTCACCACCCAATCCAGAACTGTCAATATATCTGCCAAATCCATATTTTCTTAGGGTAACCTGTAAACACAATCATGTACATCCCCAACAAACAACTAAAGAAACAACTTACAGTTCTTCAAGGTTGACTAAATTACCAAGTACTGGGGGCAATACTCCAGAGAAATTATTATTACCTATAGACCTGCATGACATTGATCCACATGATTATTTTGAAGAAACTTGAAAAAAACTTGTTTTTTTTTCCTTTCAATTCTTACAGCTTAGATAGCTGGTGAAGGTTTCCAAGCTCCTTTGGAATGGGTCCAGAGAAATTGTTGTGGGCGATTGACCTACACGAATGAATAATCCAAATATGAATTCCTTTTCCAGTATGTCTATCAAAAACTGAATTGCATTCATCAGCTTATCCTTGTTTACTCACAGTGACTCTAATCTGGACATATTTCCAATGAATGTTGGCAAGGGACCAGAGAAGTAGTTTTGATCAATATTCCTGCATTCACCCAGCAATATAAATAATTATAATCAGACACAGTTACTGAAAAAACCAACCTTTTTCCATAACTAAAAGAAAAACAAAATATTGTAACTATTTTTGAAATCTCTTACAACAATGTCAGAAAAGGCAAATCCAAAAGCTCCCTTGGCATCCCTCCTTGTTTATTTAGAGCATATACCCTCCTGTTAAAAGTTTTTAAAACATGTAAAAAAATATCGATAGAAGAAGAAAACAGATTATCGATAGAAAATACAAAAAATATCTAAAATATACTATCGTAATAATCATACAGTCGAGTAATGTGGCAAACGGTGGCACGGTTGAAAGAACAGTCGCATGTGATAGCGGGGTTATTGAGAGGATCCTCGAACACAGAAACACTTTGGATGAGAGCAGTTCCAGTGCATGGCTCTCCACTTGTGTTCCATGAATCTGCTGCTTGTGCATCCCATTGTTGGAAGATTGAGTTCAATGCCCTCACTGTTTCCCCATTCATTAACAATTGGTGAAGGAAAATTAATAATTATTACTTGTATAAGTTGTTTTTATTTAAAAACTATACAAAAGTAAGAAATAATAATAATGTTATTACTATTTATATTTGTTAAGGTTTCATATAATTTATCCCTAGTGACACAAAGAGAGGTGTGTTCGGTTCGTTTATGTTCATGAACAATGTCGTTTATCTACTCCTTTATTATGTTCATGAACAAGTTTTCTTACCCAGTTTTCATTTTTCCATTTTAACATTTTAAATATTTGTGACAGTAGTGACTAAATTGAACACATGATAAAAATTAAATTTTAAACCGTGAATTTTAAAGAGTTTAAGAACTAAGGGTAAAACTAAAAATTGAATGTAAAAACGAACGCTAAACGAACACTAAACAAACATTAAACGAATATTTTCGTGAACATGTTCGTAAACAATAAATAAATGAACAATAAAATCTTCAAAAATAAATAAATTGACACGAACATAACATTAATCATTCAAGTTCGGTTCATTTACACCCATATGTAAATTTATAATTTATAATCCTCTATATTATGTAGTCAACTGTAAGCAGTCCTTCATGCGTTTCAACATATTGACAAAATCTACAGTTAAAAATCAACTGGTCTTAAAAAAATGTTTGACAATCGATATGATTGGGACATAACCTTTTTTAAAGAATTGTTAATTAATTCTTTCAAAAGTTTCAACATCTTGATAAAATTTACAACATACCATTAAGAGTTAAAATTAACTATGAATTATTAATATATATATATATATATATATATATAATACTCATGATTATATTTATAGAAAAATTAATTTATTGATAAAAATAAAAACATAAAAATAGTTTAATAATTAATAAGATGAGATAGTTTTCTATTTTATTTAAAGATTATATAAACATTATGTCTAAAAAGATTATATAAAAAGCACGAATCGAGTGATTTCAGTGGTAAAATAATTGTTGTGATTCCTTGACGTCCCGGTTCGAGCAATTGGAATGTCAGGGGTGTAAATATTCAATGTCAAACAGTCAAGAGTTATCTTTAAAGAGATATAATCTTGTACTTATATTAGAAATGGTAACTTGGTAATTTCCAAGTAAGATGGTTGGCAAAATTTATAACCGTATATATTTTTTAATCTAATTAAAGAAGGTAGTCAATGGGCAGCCTTCAGGAGTTTCAACATGTGTATCTACAACAAGTTAAAGTCATCAAGTCTTTAAAAAAATGTTTGACAATTGATATGGTGGGGACATAGTCTTTTAAAGAAGTGTCAATTGATGGTGTGATTATATTAAAGAATTGTCAATTTATGCTTTCAAACACATTGACAAAATTTACAATATGTTAAAATATCATTGGATAGCCCATAGAAATCTCCAATATGAAATGATGTTTGATTGATATAAAATGTTACTTTTCATAAATTTAATTATTATGATATAAAATAAGATAGAATCAAAAACTTATATATAGAGATAGAGAAGGGGTTAAGATCTATTTACGTAATGTAAAATTTTGTAGTTTTACACAAATTTAGGATCATTTGATGAATAAAAATAGATTATTGAGATTGACTCCTTGTTTATTTTTTGCAATGAATATCTTCGCATTTATTACTGTTAATCTCAATTATCTATTTTCACTAATAGGGTTTTACATTGTATAACATAATCTTATCCCTATATATATATATATATATATATATATTTATAATATGATGTTATATGTTTAACCACATTGAAATTAACTGGTACGATATTATTTCAACTTAACCAAAGTTTTATGTTTTGAGTTTTTACAGTTCTTATAATTCTACCTAGATAGATAAGTATCAAACTCACTAGTTTTTTTTATGTTGCTTTGGCTGATATATAAGTATAATTAATTAGAATTCAATGAGTGATTTCAATGGTAAAAGAGAAACGTTGTTCTCTTTGGATGATATGGGATCGAACAACTGCATTTATAAGGTGTGGATACGTTATCAATGGTTAAGAAATATTTTAAACAGATATTATCTTACAATCACACACGATTATTTAAAAATATAATTAATTATTAGTTCCACGCACGGTTGTATGCATAAGTATATGCTACATACATATTTATCTATAAGAGAGAGAGAGAGAGGAGAGTACCTTCAGAAGGATCAGTGGTGGCATTCTGGGCATTAGTGGATTGTCTGCATGAAAATAAAAGTAGAAAGAACAAGCAGAGGAATGCGGACATTTTTATTTTTATTTTTATCAACTTTACAAATGTTTCTCATCGCCCGCTTATATTAGCACCTTCTTGTACAGTTGCAACTAGATTTTTATTCTTCATCATCGTACCATAGAGTGACACGTACAGATACCTCTCGTCTTATACTCTTAGTTCTTGGTCAATGAAAATAACTCGTGTATTAATGACCATGCCAACGCACCAACGTCATAGGTTACGTGACAAGATAAAATGTCTATAAACAAAGTATCTTAAAAATGATATTGTTATGCACGAATTATTATCATTCTTTGAGACCTCAGATTCTAGTATCATAAATGTTAGAGGTGTGAACGTTCAATATCAAATGATCGAGATTTATCTTTGAACAGATAATAACTTATGTTGAAAATATTACTGCAAAATAGAGATGTTAGCACTGACTGCAAAATTAAAAAAAAATAACAAAACAAATCTAGGTAGCAAACCGTATGGTAATGAACCACGACCTTAGAAGTAAATTTGTCTCAATTAATGCAGTAATAAATTAGAGCTATAGAAAGAAGAAATCATCGTTATCAGAACGGAAAAAGTAGAGATATACAAAATTTTATATTAAGAAAATTAAAATTATATAATTTTAGAAAAAATAAATTTATAAAATTTTAGAAAATGAACTTATTATTAATAAAAAAATATTAAAAAAATTAAAACATGAGAAATTAAAATTTTCAAAAAAATGATTGTTGATGATGACAGTGTTAGCTGTGGCATACCCTTTGATTCTTCAAATATCCTTTTGATATTTTGTCAACAATGGCTACAACGCCTCAGAAACAACAGTCTATGTAACAAAAGCTAGTTTTAGGATTAAACACACATTTAACAGAATTCGGTACATCTAAAACATTACGGGTTCCCACTACAATAACCTTTTTTTTTGGATCAACACTGAACAATTATCATAAACTTCTAACAGGCACCAAATTTTGTGCAATCAAAACATAGATGACATTGGATTATGATAATAATCTTCCTTGCAGCACACGGCACTCCGTTACCACAGCTTCCTCCACAAAAAGTAACTTTCGGCTACAAATTTGGCTGTCGGAAATCATCAATCATGTTTAACAGTCTTTCTTGGATTTGTCCATTGCTCTAGGAGCTGTATGACACGGAAAATAGTGGTTAACAACACTAAAACGTCGTATTTCATCCAGTTACGCTTCAATAGGCAAAGTGAATGCTGGGGATACACTGCTCTCGTTCAATAGACCCCCGGAAATTGTATAATAGGAGTACAAATCATATGCATACACCCAGATCCCCACCAGGGTGTGACAGGCAAACAAATATATTGATGAATTTGATAGATTCTGCAGGAGTTCACTAAACATAAACTACTTACCTAATCCGATCGCATCAGTGCTCTTCATGATTTTCAACCTCTTGCATGTTTCAATGAACATCCTGCAACAATATCAAACTACAGTTCAGAAGTTGAAGGTGAGGAAATCTCAATCTATAAGTTTAAATTATGCAGCGCTTGTATACCACATTAGTTTAAGTACTAGCAAATTCAGTCTAGAAAGATACATTCTGCTTATCCGATATAGGATTTACTGGAAAAGAAGCATTTGGGAAAATAAAAGGCAAAGGCAAATAGTAATTTTAAGTGAATGAAGCCTACTCCCATGGAACATCCCCGACCAGCATCCAGTCACCATCTTTATCTTCATATGTAAGCACATATTCTGATCCATGAAAAAGATCCTTCAACTTGCTCTCACTCAAGATTTCCTTCCCAGGAGCAGCATGAGCCCCACATTGACCTGAAATCGTAATAGAAATGCGGTAATCAGATCTATGTCAATAGTTGGAAGTTTTCTTTTACTTTTGCACATTGCTTTCATCTAGAAGGATTCAGCTCCATGTTACAAGGCAACGAGCGCAGCTTACCAAGGGTAAAACAGCTGAACATCTTCTCCAGATTAGAAGACAGTTCCCGATAGGTCGAATACATTCTCAAATCAACCTTCCTCAGATAAGGAGCTCCGTCCATACTGACCTTGACAAAAAGGGCAGCAGGCCCTGGTTTTCCATCAACTTCGTCATTGTTCTTTGATGAAGTGGCCAGGGTTTTAGTCCTATATGATCTCACTGGAGGCCAACCAACAACCTGAGCCCTGTCAAGGATGGGATGTCATAAGAACAATGAAAAAGGTCAAGATATTCATATAATTCCCTTGATCTCATCAAAGATTAAGAATCCTCCCTGAAACTAATTATACTTACTTAGCAGCGGGTGCACTGCTGCTGTTGTTAGAAACGCCCGTACGGTTAAGATTGGTTTCATTAGTGGCACAAGGTCGTTCTTGTATAGCATTTGCAGGCACATCTTTCCTTACGGATGCTTGAGGTACAGAGCATTTTCCATGTGACAGAGGTTGCGGAGATTGAGAGTCCAGACCAGCACCATGGAACATCCAATTTTTTTCGGAGTACATGGTGCCTTTTACCTCGGAGAATCCATCCATGGTGTCGGAGAACCCCCTTTTGTGTCCAGCAACAACACTTTTCTGTGATGACGAGCAGATTCCATCTTTAGAAGGAAGTAAAGGAAACAATGTCTTCTCATCGAGTTTCCCCGAGTTCAGCAAGCAAAGCTCGGTTTTTCTCTCAGGGAACTGGGATCCTGGAAGACCAAGCCTCAGTTCGGTAGCCTTCAGATTCAGATTATTCTTGTTATACTCTGATAAGCCGGTGACACTAGAGCTGTCAACCGAAGAAAAAACCGATAATCCAAGATAATTCCACTCCTTTATCTCCAAGCCATTTGGGGGGAGACAGTCAACAGGTGGAGAAGAAACACTACTCTGCCCTTCCTCCTCCACACCGAGCAGTGGCGGAGACATCCGAACTCAAATCTTCTCAAAACTTTCCACTTTAAACTACATAGAAAAACAAAATAGATATCACTTCTGTAAACCTCGAGAATAATCTTTGAGAGCACAAGATTAAAACCACCATAAATTATAAGTCAAAATCTATTACAAGGATATCTAAACTAAACAATCAAAAAGTAATAATTATCGTCAGTTCCAGGTGAAAATCCACCCGTGCATCAGCTGTTTCAGAACCCAATAACATCATCCATGAAACCCACTTGAACCCATTTTTTTCAAACAACTTCAGCTTAACATAATTGATCAACGTGTCATTTTATTGCTTTCAAGGGTAAAGCCCTCACTTTCTAAAGCTGAAAGTAATGTGGATAACCTTCATTAATGCAAACTAATATTATATAACTAAATTACACACCAAAAAATGAGTCCAATTTTTACACACACAAAATCTTACCAAATAGAATAGATTCTAAAGTAGGAGGGGGAATAAAACGTGAACCACAAATTTTGTTTAGCTTCAAAAAAAATAATAAGATCATAAAAAGTCAACTGTCTAGTGCATTAAACCGTTTAAGAACAGTTCCGTTTTTCGGTGAATAATGAGCAGACCGAAGAAGAGAAAAGGAAGCCAAACATGAAAAGATAATAATCTTTTCCCCCTTCCATTTTCTTCTGTTTTACGGGCAACCAAACAGAAGGGGTAGATAAAATCACAGCAAAAATGAAACGGAGATCTTAATGTTGATCTCAAGCAAAGCTGAAAAATACAAAGAAAAATAACAGACAAAAAATGCACATCTATATATATATATTAAAAAAAAAGCTTACAGAGTAAAACTGGGTAGAGTTGTATATTAGACAAAGAGAAGAAGATGGATTACTGCTTTCAAAAATTGCAGGCGAAAATGCACGAACTGCAGCGTAAAATAAAAGCAGAGAGAGAAACATAGATAATAAGCCTAAGACCCTTCTCCCATTATCTGCAGAAAGCAACAATAGCCATTAAAGAAACTAAAGAAGCCCTCCCAAGAAAATAAAAATAAAAGGAAGGGGCAAAAGCGAAAATAAACACAAGAATGGGGCCAGGTTGGTTTTTATACTGCGCCAACTGGGGCGGGAAGGGAATCTGATCGGACGGTTGATATTGGTTTGGCTATGGAGCGATCTGGACCGTTGGATTCTTCCCAAAAGAGTTTATAAATGTAAATGTGTCGCTATTCCAGGTAGCATTTCTAGTAAACCTGGCTTTGATTGGTTGTTGCTTTCTAGTTCAGTATCTGGGTTTTGAAGTCGTGAAGTGTCGAATTCACCCTTAAATATATCCTATTATATTACACAGTTAAACGAAATGTCACATGAGAGACTTGGAATATTTTTTTATATTTAATTTAAATATAAACTTACAGCACTTCAACAACTACTCCAACACCCACGTTTGCTTATAAACTTACAGTAATCACTATTTATGTAATATTATAAATAATAACAGAAAATGAAAATAAAAGTAATAATAAAACGACTCAAGCCTAAGTTTATCAGGAATATAAAAACATCTAAATCATTAAAGAAAATCTATTTTTTAATTATAATTGAATACATTATATATATATATATATATATATATTTAAAATTGTAATCAATATAATATTTAAAATAAATAAATAAATAAATAAATTTAATATTTTTTTCCAGAAAGTGGAGGTAAAAATATATTAAATTTAGTTTAAAAATATTAAACTTATTGTTATTATTTTAAATATTATATTGAAATTATTTTAGTTTAAAAATATAAAACTTAGTTTTATTTTAAATATTATATTGGTTTAAAAATATTAAATTTATTTTTAAACTAAATTTAATATATTTTTTCCTCCACTTTCTCTACTGGAAAAATATATTTTAGAAATATTATATTGAACTTATTTTAGTTTACAAATATTATATTTATTTACTTATTTTAAATATTATATTGATTACAATTTTAAATATATATAAAATGTATTCAATTATAATTTAAAAATTAGAGCTTTTAATGATTTAGATGTTCTTATATTCCTAATAAACTTAGGCTTGAGTCGTTTTATTATTACTTTTATTTTCATTTTCTGTTATTATTTATAATATTACATAAATAGTGATTGCTGTAAGTTTATAAGCAAACGCGGGTGTTGGAGAAAAATATTTAAATTAAATATAAAAAAGTCTTTCAATTGTATCGTGACACGTGTTGTCATACTATTGGTGGATTAATATTAAATTAATTTAAAATTATGATAAAATTAATAGAATACATAAATAATAAAGACTAAATGTGTAATTATACAAATTATTTTAACTGTCATGTCAGCACAATCGTTAACCATTTAATGATAAGTAGTCTGATTTTATGTATTTAAATAGTTAGTATTATCATTGACAATAATTCAAAAATAATAGTCAAAATAAAAATAGGTTATAGTTAGGTGTTATCTATACAGTTTACCACCTATTATTTTACATAAAGGTTAAAGTATACAAATGATCTTTTATTATAGTACATTATTTTATCGAGTCTCGTTACTATTAAATGTTATAAAATGATTCTCTAACTATAAAGTATCGTTTTATTGAGTTTTTTTTACTATTCAAAACTATAAAATAATCATTCAACTATGCATATATTCTAGACTCGTCATTTTCAATTAAATTTTTTTGATTTTTTTAGTTGGACGTTAACATGCTCATTAAAATATGATAAAATCTTATCCTATAACCGTTTCGAACTGTATTTTGTGGATCGACTCTTCATTTACATTATATTGTCAAGTCATTACTTGAAACATTATGTCATCGAGTCAATGTTTGAAAGGAAATACGGTGTCAATAAATATCATTAAAATATAATTTTATCATATCTCGATTAGTAGGTTAATATCCAATTTAGACGACCGTTAATTTTTTAACGAAAAAAAGACGAGTTTAGAAGATATAAATAGTCAAATGATCATTTTGTAACTTTTAATGGTCGAATGACTCAACAAATAATATTCTATAATCAGAAGACTATTTTATAACTTTTAATAATCATAATTTCAACAAAACAATTTCATATAGTTGAAGGACCATTCATATACTTTATAGCTTTATACATAAAATACACCTTGAATGGAATCTAGGGATGGTCAAGTGTCCAAAATGCACTTTTTTTAATCATCTAAATTTAAATCTGTTTATAATTTGTAAATTATTTAATTTTTCAGTTTTAGAATATTATTATTTAAATTTAAATAAAAAATGAATATTATTCTTTATATATATATATTTAAATCTATAAAAAATATAGTTTAAGTTCTTAATCGTATTTCAAGTATTCGCATCCACACACAGACTGAAATATAAATAAATTAAAAAATCATTATAAAATAAAAAAATTCAAACAACAATTCTAAATCATATATAATATATTAAACATAACAATTAAAAACATATAAAATATTATACCATCAAACTCAGTTAGATAAGACACTAAATTATTCAAATAAAGACAATATATATTTCGAATCTTTTTTATTAATTAAAAACGTACGTACACTTACAAACACAATTGTTCAAACTCAAAATTTCAAAAGATAATAACATTTTCATTGAATTCGCTTAATGAATCCTTTACCCAATATAACTCGATTAGATCCGATTTTATTTATTTAAACACGAGTAGGGTTTAGTGCGATATAAAACGGCGACATTTTGGCTTGAAACATAAATGGAATGATAATTGATGGTTAAACGAAAATAAGATTATTGTCGACCCAAATCTATCCAAATCCAACCACTCATTGCTCCTTTACATCAAACCTGTAAGACAATGTCTATACACCATAGGCATTTTCAAGCCAGTCTGCCGGGCGATGATCACTAGACAGCCTATATCATTCCTCCCTTTCATTCATTTTCTCTTCTTTTCCATCATTACCCCTCTTTTCTCTCTCTATATATCTCTCTCTCTCTCTCTCCCCCTAAACCCTCCCTCTTACTAAATATTTAATAATTTATATTGTCAATTGTTTTTTGAGAAAATAACCTCAGTGACCAAAAATCTCAGATAATATACGATTTTGATCAACTTTTTTTGGATTTGCGAAAATGACCAACAAAATCGCAATGCGATCTCTAATTCGCATTGCGATCTCCACTATCACAAATTCACGTTGCATTTCGCATTGCGATAGTTGAAAATCGCGTTGCGTTTTTCCATTTCGCGTTGCGATAGTTGGAGATCGCGTTGCGATAGTTGAAATCGCAACGCGATCTCCATCATCGCAAGTGATTTTCCATTTCGCGTTGCGATAGTTGAAAATCGCGTTGCGATTTTCCATTTCGCGTTGCGATTTTCCGTTTCGCGTTGCGATAGTTGAAAATCGCGTTGCGATTTTTCATTTCGTGTTGCGATAGTTGAAAATCACAACGACAACTGTAGACTATCGCAACGCGAAACGGAAAATCGCAACGCGATTTTCAACTATCGCAACGCGCAAATGGAAAATCGCAACGCGATTTTCAACTATCGCAACGCGAAACGGAAAATCGCAACGCAACTGTAGACTATCGCAACGTGAAATGGAAAATCGCAACGCGACTATAGACTATCGCAACGCGAAATGGAAAATCGCAACGCGATTTTCAACTATCGCAACGCGAAATGCAACGCGAATTTGCGATAGTGGAGATCGCAATGCGAATTAGAGATCGCATTGCGATTTTATTGGTCATTTTCGTAAATCCAAAAAAAATTGGTCAAAATCGTATATTATCTGATATTTTTGGTCACTGAAGTTATTTTCTCTTGTTTTTTTTATATAATGAAGATAAGATTAATATAAGAAAATTATTGGATTAATGCAAAAGAAACGGTGTTGTTTATATTAGGGTGGCATGCGGGAGAGATGGGGTAACATCGGTAGGCATTATTAGGGGCAGAGCATGCCCTTGAGGAGGGTCACAGACCTCACCGCCGTTCATGTCCCGTGCATGCCACACACCCATCATCACTCTTTCTTCGCCTTTCAATTTTAACCGTATTATGTTAGTCTTGTTTGTCATTTAATGTCTGTTGGTTTAAATTTACAACTAATGCAAGAATAAAATATGTCGAAGTATATTCGTACAGAAATTCTAATAGATTGGTGTTAGATTTGATTATTAAGAGTATAAAATTAATCAATAACTAAAATAAATTTATACAGAAATTACATTTGATGACACATATATAATGATAAAGTATGAAGATAATTAAAGATAATAAGAGAAAAGATCCACTCATTGGCTTAGTTATTAAAGATTTCATGTTATTTAATATTTATTTTAAAAATATAATACGTCTTTACCTAATAAAAATAAATAAAACTTTGTAACTTCATAGAATCTTAATTTTTATGTGATATGTTAAATGCGGAGAGAATTTATTTTAAGATTAATGGTATTTGAGTTCACGAACGGATGCATGAATTTATATTATAGATATGAATTTAAAAGATTATATTAAGAGTTATAAAATTAAATAATCAATATAAAATACAAAAAATAAACCTAAAACATAAGAGAGATTAAAATGTCTAAATGCGACCATCCAACATTGTTTGAATTGTTTCTAATTTTTCGAAAAAACTAATATAATTCCTATTTTTTAAATCAACATGACCGATAAACTAAAAAAAATCAATTCGGTATTTTAACTAATAAAATCAAATATTGAATGTTACATTAATAAATTTAACACCGACTGCTACTATGTTGATATGACAATTCACAATACTGACATAATGATCTATAATGTTGACATGATGATACACGGTGACAATTTAAATAACGTGATATCTCCATTAATCACAAAATAAAATTAGATTCTCCATGAACCACAAAATAAAATTAGATTCTCCATGAAAACCTATGTTCTACATTTCTAACAAAAAAGCACGACAGTAGATGCTTGATGGTCATATGGTTTATAACTCCGCCGATTCCATTTCACTCTCCGTTTGCGGCGTCGACGTTCTTTGATCCAAGTATTCTTGTTCTAGCGTTTCCTTGAGGATGAACAGCCTTTGTATGACCACAGGTTGACTCATCTTCTTTGCTTCTTTGATGTCGGTTTCTTCTTTATTGAGTGTGTATGCGTCCAGCACGATCTTAATCCATTTGTGCAGCTCTTTCGGCGTACTGTAAATCGGAAAACTCGCGGAATATGTCATGCCACTATAATCTGACGTCCAAAGAAGGGAAGAGGATTTCTTACGTGTATGAAGCGTGAGGATCCTTCACTTCGTGTTCATTGCCTGGGGAGAAAGCTGTTGCCAACGCAGAGAATCGCTCTTCCGGATCTGTGATGTTTAGCAGATGCTTGAGCAACTTTATCTCTTTCGGTGCAATGCTCTTAAGACTGCTCTTCGTCGCTTTGTATAACTGATACATGATGTCTTTAACCTGCAATTAGATGTCGAAAACAAAATCTAAAAGAATAGAAAAAACCTAACAGTAGCTGGCAATGGCATATACTTCATTGAGATTTGAGGCTCATAATGCCAAAAATGAAAACTAAACTTGAGAACCACCATGTTCAAAACATCCTACATATCACGATTATGTTTGGTTTTAATCATCAGTTTTAATTGTTGGATGCAATGCATAACATGTGAATATGGTTTCTTTTCTCTACGACATCTTAAGACGTGCCACTATCACTCCAATCTTATATTCTAATGGTCAATGCGTCGAACAATGATCTCGGTTTAAATTTAAAGACTTCCATGCCATCGCAACATATTATACAATTTTAATCCTCAGGAACATGATAATAGATCAAAGAACGAGAGACCGAGATGCACTGGAAACTGCAATACCTCGTTTTTCATGGTTCTGGAGTCCTTTGCTGATGCCCAAGCACTATTTATCAGTAGAATCAATGATGAGTCGAGTTCCTTTCCCTTGGCAAGGCTTTTGATCTTTTCGCATGCCACGTCCACAGAAGGCGAATTTAGTATATCATCAAATTTTGCCTGTGCGGAATCTAAATTCTCCATAGCCTCCAGTGTCTTATCATAAGCACCGACAGCGGATAGACATCTTGCTGCCAGTCGGGCAATCTCTGTTTCAAAAGAAGTAATGGAAAGTTCTTGAATTAAATTAATTTCAAGCGACTGAAAGGAAGGGAAACAAGTTTCATTTTTTAAGGTACTTCCATTTCTTATCAGCTTAGAACATCCAGTTTTCAACCACAAAAAAAAAAAAAAAGTCCACAAAGAATTAGCATATTGTTTACCGTCTCGGTACTCCAGACCATCACATGTTCGGAAACTAGATTCAGGTATCGGAAAAATTCATCAGTGAAGTCTTTCCGCCGCCTTGTAATGATTGCATTTATATCAGTTGGGCTATCTTGAATCTCCTTAAGAAGTTCACAATGTCTATCCATTTCATCATCGATCTGCAACACTCATTCCTTAGTAGACTACTAATAGTCACATTAAAAAAAGCAAGAAGAAGAAACGAACTCAAGCTATGAATCTCAAGTGTCCCGATACAGAACATAAGAGCGATATACCAATTTGAGCCTCTCTCTTAAGTTCCCAACAAAAAAGTAGTTTAACTTGGGATGTGTTTTCGGGTTTGTTCGAGTTCCAAAATACATAAAACATCCACAATCATGATACACATCTTTATCACTAAAACCAAATTTATCAAAATCAAGCCGTGAACCTTATCTTAGAGCACACCAAGTTCGTTTTTGGGTTTGTTCAAGTTCCAAAATCACATAAAACATTCAAAAATACATATGCACAGCTTTATCAATAAAACCAAATCAATCGAAATCGAGCCATGCACCTCAAGTGTTTCGATACCGAACAATATATTAGAGCATACAGAGTTAGTTTTCGGGTTCGTTCAAATTCCAAAATTACTTAAAAACATTCACATCCATAATACACATTTACCAAACAAGTTACCATAAAAATAGAACACTTTAGGAGATTAAAAGCATGGTTTATACCTTCTTCACCTTGCTCTCCAAAGAAATTAATTTCTGCTTCATAGATGGATCAATCTCGTCATCGGCTCGGACTCGACATCGATTATAGAAGCATTCTCTATACTTATTCCACTCTCCCCTCAAAATCAAGTACTTTTTCCAATCTTTTACTCTTGGTTTCTCATTCAAAAACAAGTCAATGATTCTATCACAAAATCGGGTCATTGTATAACCTTTTGCAACTTCAACTTCAGCATCAGTTATACTACTAGCTCGAAGACCTGAAAATAAAAGATTTTTTCCCTTTAAGCAACCAACAAATACCCAAAAAGGACATGAAAAAAACAACTCATTTAGAGCAATTAAAGCAGCAAAACAAGAAAATAAGAAATACCCGGAACCAGAAAACAGCCTAGGAACAAAAAGGAAGCAATCTAATGCTTACAGGGATCGAAAAGGAGGTTCTTTTCAGGGGAGAGACATTTTCTTCGTGGGTTTATTTTGAAGGGGTAATGAGAGAATGAAGAGATAAGAGGGAGCTCGAGGGTTGTGGGAAACAATTTGTCACTGAGAGTGATTGACAAAGTGTTTGTGTTGGTGGGGATTGATAGTTTGAGCCTCGAAAGACTGCTCATTTCTGCTTTCTTCTTTGCAATGGGAGAACAAGCTTTTTTTTTTTTAATTTCAATGTTCCATTAGCTCCATAACCATGGCAGTGGTTGGATGGAGGAATCGGATAATATAAACATCTCCGAATATCTGTCGGCCTGATTGGTTCTTCAAAACTTGTGTTTGGTTGGGCCTACATTTTGTACTGTCATTTTGGACCAGATTGGGTAGTAGAAGGTGCCCTCTTCAACTCTTTGACCCAAACCAAATGAAAGGTTAATATGACTTTTGGTGCCTAAGTGTTGCATTGACATGCAATTCCGTACAAGACTTTTTTTTTTTTGCAATTAGGTACTTTAGTTTTTTTGGGTGTGTGCATAATATAATTTTTATGGGTAAAGTACAAAAATGGTCCCTCGACTATAGGATACTATTTTATTAAGTCCCTTCACCATTAAAAGTTACAAAATGGTCTTTTGACTATAGAATGTTGCTTTATTAAGTCTCTCGACTATTAAAAGTTACAAAATGATCACCCGACTATTCATTATATTCCAAAATCGTCATTTTCATCAAAAAAATTGGTGATTGTCTAAGTTGGACGTTAACATGATGATTAGGATATGATAATCATTTGAGATTTCGTGATCATATTTTATCATATCACATTCAACATGTTAACGTTCAACTCAGAATACCGTCAATTTTTTAAAGAAAAATGATGAGTTTAAAACATAATGAATAGTCAGGTGACCATTTTGTAACTTTAAAGTAACACTCCATAGTTGGAGGATCATTTTGTAACTTTTAATAGTCGATAGGCTTAATAAAGCAATAACCATTTGTGTATTTTACCTTTTTTTTCAAATTACACTATTCATACTTTTTTTTATTAATACGGGATAAATATAATATAATATATGTTCAAAGATAATTCTTAACCATTTGATATTAAACGCTCAAATCCCTAACATTTGTAGCGCTCGTACTTTAAATTTTAACATTGGGGTTTTAATTTTCTTTTTCTTTAAATATGAAGGAGGCATAAACCATTAAACTTGGCATTAGAGATAAGAATTCGATGACAACGCGCTGTCGCGTTTGTAAAGAACCGAAGCTTGGATTCGCTTCACGTGGACCGATAACGCGATGTTCGGGTTATAGATCGTGACGTTGGCCAGCCAATTGGCCGCCAGATTCGAATCCGAGACCATGAAATTCGAGACGAGAACATTGTTGACTTCGATTACCGGTGCTTGTGGGTAGAGAGAGAAGGGCAGCGGTGTTTTGAAGAGGCAAAGGAGGATGGTAATGGAGATTGTAATGGCGGAAATGAGAAGGATTCTAGGGATGTTGAAGGATCCAATGGAGGTATCGCTGGCCATTGGTAAAAGATAAAAACAAGGCACGAAACTTCTCAATGTATATATAAAGAATGTGCTCTTGTTGCCTTAACCATTGACCTTTTCTTACAAGGATAAAAACAACTTGACCATTTTTCTTACATTAGTATTTGGATATTTTTGTCCACGTTGATATACTCTTTCACGTGATGACCTTAATCATATCCTAAATAATTTTCTTTTTTTAAAATTTCACTTCATTTTCTCTTCCATAGTTGGTAATTTAATACTTAAATTATCAATTTTCATCTATTTTAGTTCCTAAATTTTTAATTTTTTAAAATCATACCTATTCGAGATTTTAAATTAAAATTACTTTTGTTAATTTCAAAAATAGATTAACCGAAACTTTTGAATCACTCAAGAAAATTTAGCAAAATATTAGCTATTGAGGATTTGCCCATTCTAGCAATTGAAGATGATTAGATACTTCACAAAATCCAGCTTTCTAATGTTTCAACTACTGTTCTTTAGCCTTCAAAACAAAACCCTCTTCTTGCCAAGATATAAAAGAGGTAAAGATAAAGATCGATTCCGATCCATGGTCATTTCATCGAGTCGGCCCCAGAGAGCTTCGAACAATTCGCTTCTTAACAGTAGTTGCATCGGTGTTAGAACTGCCTCGGTTATCATTAATATGACCGGTGAGGCCATAAGAACTCAGCTGCTGGCTGCAACATTACAGTTGTAGGTATTGCTGTTGCCGATGACAATCCGGGGGGATCACAGCTGCCTAAGTTGGCAGACTGAAAGTGGTGGTACAGATTCTCTTGATAAAATGCTGTAGTTGCTGCAGCAGCTTCGTAAGGGATTCCACAAGGAATGTCGGAAACTGGCTGCATCGGAGCGAAACTTATACCTTGGCTGTTGGAGCTGCACCGTGGTAGCTGTTGTTGCTCATGGTTTACCATCGGTTTCTGGTTGGATTCAAGTGAATGCTTTTGTCGCTTAGCTGCTCCACCAACGGGAAGGGAACTCTTGGCAATGGCTTCGACATTGTATCGGTTCATCTCGAAGTTGGTCACCGCATTCACACCTCGGAATTTGATGGCCGCGATGTCATATGCCTCTGCTGCCTCCTCTTCAGTAGCTGTGAACCATATGGAAGATAAAACATTGTCAATAATATTACAGTAGTTGAAGTGGGAAAGTTCATTCATAGGTCAATTATGGTAGCTTTACCAAAAGTCCCAAGGTACAAGTCCTTGTTTCCGGCAACCCGGCCGATCCTTGCTTGCCATCGGCCTTGTTGATGATGCCTGCAAACATAAGACAGCAACGTAATGCTTCGGTCGTTCATCCGACAATCCTACAATTAGTTCTACGTCTAAACAAAAATGTGCGAACCTCGTGACACCTCGGTAAATGGATGCACCCCTTGAAAATCCACTACTCTTCCTATTAAACATCGGCAAACGGAAGATTAACCCTTTCCAATCATCCCCATCTGGAAAAAAGAAAACCAAACCCAGTGAAGTACACAAAGCTTTACCTCCGTATGGATGCAATAAACTCTTGCCTGGTTACATTCTTCATCTCTTCCAACTCCTTCGAATAATTTGCAATCTAAACCAAGGGAAATAACCATCATTAGGTTGTTCAAATAATCTTCATCTTCCGTAAAATACTTATATTTGTACGTAACAGACACATTCATACATATATAGATATATGATAAAGAAAGAACCGTGCATATATGATACCGGGAAGTTGGTGGTGGCGGTCGGACCCCAGTATTTCACGGCGGCCAAATCGTATGCCCGAGCAGCCTTTTCTTCATTATCATAACCACCTGATAAATTACAATATAAAATTTTCAGTCTAATAATTAACAACAGCAGTTTGAAACTGCATGATTAAACTTAATAGTAACTACAAATCTTAGGAGTTCCTTACCCAAGTATACTGTATAAACAAGAGTTTGAACACATCCAGGATCCCAGATTTGCATGCAAAAAGTAAAGCAGAGATTGTCAATATTCGAAATTTTCTGCATAAACCCAATCCATAATATATGGTCAAAAGAAAAACTTTCTGCTGTTAACAAGTTCAAATTCTTCTACTAGTCCTTGTAGATATGAAAAATTGTGAATCTAGTCGCCACGAGACACAAGGAAAAAAGCAAAAGCCAAATCAATCAAAATCACTGTTTCAGAATTCATACTGCGATTCAACTGTAGAAAAAGCCACATAGATAGGCTTCAGGTTGAGCGAGATGTTAAGGAAAAATGAACAAATAAAGGTGACAGTGAACAAAAATGGCGGCATATCTGCTCAAATCAAAAGAGAAAACCGTACATTTTGCAGCAAATTGAAAGTACCATTTGGGACACATATATAACATCACAGGGTCTCAATCATCTTTAAATGACTGATGAAAATGTCCCACTGCATGCATGCTTCTTTTCACTAGTCTTCTCACTGTACCCATATCCAATATTATAAATTCATATTTATATTTAGAATATTTTATAATATACTAATATTTATGTGGGTAATTATTTGATAATTGTGTATCATAGTCTGAGGTTTAAAATTATAGATATAGTAGGTGCTAATTAGATAGTACAATAACGGTTTCAAACGATATCAGATAATATTATTGTCGTAATACAACAGCTACTATAATTATAGATATAGTAGATATATAACAGTTTCCGACAATATTATTATCGTTATATAATGGTTTCCGATAATATTATTATCGTTATATAACGGTCACTATTTGATATTTAAATCCTTATCATAGCTATGCAAGATAAGAAAGAAAATGTGACCTTGACGGCCTTTTCTGGCTTGACCCTCTCTCCTGCAGCTGTTATCCCATAGATGAGCTTCATATCTACCCGTCCACCTGTGTCTGGATTGCCATTTCGATTTTTTTTTTAAAAAAAATCATATCAAATCAACATGTAATATTCTGATTTTTAAATCAAATTAAGACTTGATGATAATTAAATCATTGTTAGCTAATATTTAGCAAAAAAATACTTTTTAAAATTGAAGGAGAAGACTGATTGATGGGACATTTTTACCTGGTGACGCCTCTGTAAATCGAAGTTCGTTGACCAAATGTATCGGAGATCTTCTTTGAGCTGTCTGAGTCAACCGTAACAATGGCCTTACTAGTGTTATTTTCACTATGGTTCCCGCGTGATTCGATCGGGTGACCAGGTAACTCGAGGCGAGCCAACTGAGTTCTACCCATTGACGACGAGTCATCGACCTCCGACCCCGAGTTCGTAGAGAACGCTTGAAATCCAGTAAATTGCTTGAGATCTTGAGGCTCATATATTTGGGTTAAAGACGAACCTTGGGTTTCGGTTTGGCTGTCGGAAAATCTAACGATCGACGAAGAATCGCCAAGGAAGTCTTCAAGCTTCGGTGCTTGGTAATGGAAGCTCGTGAAAATGGAGGATTCATCCGCCATTGATGCTGCCGTTTGAGCTTCGTCGCTTTGGTTCTCATCTCCTTCAAAAAACACTTGGTTTTTCGGATTTGTCCAGCATTCAAAAAAAAAAGAGATTTTCAATATAAGGCGATTTAGTTAAGTAAAACCAGTAGGAAAATGAACTTGAAACTTAAACCCCTCGAACCTTGATTTTCTCGTATTTTCTAGACAACCAAACAGAAGAGAGAAAAGAAAAGAAGGGGAAGCTTTGCCATACCATTACCATAGAAGTTGTCGATCAGGTAAGGGGGAGAGACAGCAGAGGATCCTTCACATGACACAAACTGAGGCTCAGATGATGACCTCAACAGCTCCATTGGAGACAGTGGAAACGAAAGCCAGTTACTTGCTGATGCCATTTCATGTGTTTAAATATATGAACTTCAAAACCATTTTCTCTTCTTTTCTGAACTTACACTAGACACCAAAACTATATTTCGAGGAAACAAACAAAAGCTAGCTCAGAAACCTTTAACAGAAAAGTGATGATGCATTCTTTTTAATCTTAACCGTTACTTAAAACCGTTTCCATCCAGATAAACAACTACGACAATACCGAAGCTTAGTAAATGAAAAAGATGTTAAATGCATGCAATCTCATCTTGGATTTCTTTGAGGAATCCATTGTCTTCTTAAAGAAGGAAAATAAAAGTTCGGAGGAAAAAAATCTGTTTGGTGAGAGGGAAAGTGAGGTAAAATAAAGTTGGCGTTGGGGTTTTTAAAGGAAGCTAGACAAAGAGAAGTTATCCAGCGGCTTAATCTAAAACGATAGAACTACTGAAAAATAGAGCAAATATAGGCAATTTTACTTAAATAATACCAAATAAAAATTATTTAACTGAAGATTTATTATTTATAATATACAATTAATTTTATTTATGATTATAAAAATAATATTATTTTGTATCATAGTGAAAATAAATGGCATACGAAGAATTTTATGTCAAGTGACGAATTTAAATTTAAGGGTGAATTTTAATTTATAAAATTTTAGAGTACAAAATAATTTTTTTAGACACTTAAAAGTATAACGGCGGTTAACGTCCGAAAACCTAAAAATATAATAATTGAAACACTAATTACTTTTTTAGTAAAAAATTCTTTAAACATTAAAATATTTTTCAAAACTTAATTTAAACATTTATTTTTATATTATTCATTAGAAAATCACAATAGACATCCCCTAAAAATTAGGATGATTAGATAGTTCGCATATATATCATTGGTCATTGATCTGATAATAATTTGGACATCGAACATAAGTCTTATTACACAATACAAAGATATTTAATCCGCGGTTGTAAGGAGAATTCTACGGTGCAAACCCTTATTATAATGGTAAGTAGCCCATAAATATGTAATCATACCTTCGTTCCCGTTAACAATGCGATATAATATAGAGATCACTCTTATTCATAGACGTACCCTTGCACGGATTAATACGAGCCTCGGTCCTTGTCAACTATCTTTCAATATATATATAGAGAGAGAGAATAAATAAAATATTCTATCAACAAAAAGAAAATAAATAAAATAACTTCAACTAGGCATTTTTTAATTGAAAATTTTGATTAAAAGTATTATAATATTAGCCTATTTGCCGAATTCATATTAATATTTGAGTATAAGTATTATACTGCCATAATTATATGATAATTAAATCTACTAAAATGATTTGTTATTTTTTTTTTACTTTTTGTTGCATTAGATTACTAGTTTTTATATATTTTTTTAATGAAATTAATAGTAATAAGTAAAAAGGTTATTAATTGAACAGTGAACTTTATTGATGTTTTCCCCTCGGTTTTACACATTTGTTCTACATGCATGTAACTTTCCTACCTATGCAGTTGAATCTCATTCATTATTCGTCTGAAGGAAAAATATGTTGACCTTTGTTTTTAACACTGATATATTAAATTTTAATACTTTTAAAAATAAACACTGATAAATTTAATTCAAAAAGAAGCTAGAGATATAATACATAAATATTGTCTTCTTGTTGATTTTTACTTTAAAATTGATTCGGAATATCAAAAGTCCTCAAATTTATTTTTTCTCTTATTGATGTGCCGCTCATATCTTCTTCTTTTTTCGTTCTTGTTTATCAATTACGGCATCAACTTTAACGTTAGTTGTTGATCTTTTTCTTTTCTATATCGTATCTTTATTTTCTTTTGTTTTTTTTTATTTTCAATAAATCTGCTTGTGTTGCGCATTTTCATCTGTATTTATGACACATTTTCTTATGTTTTTAGGACTTTTTTTGGTTTTTTGGCATTTTTTATTTATATATTTTTTCTAATGGTCGTTTTGACATCGCCATTACTGATTAAGATGACTCTTATCTGATATATTGTGATCTTCTCTACTTTGGACCATCGGATTGGATTTGGATACCCGATTTGTATTCGTGGATAGTTTTTCACGTCACTCGAGTCTGATTTGCGGTTTATCGGTGGTCTTTCAATAGTTTGATCCCCTTTTGTGGTTCGTTTGTAAATGATATCAGATCTATTTGTATCTATCTTTTCTCGAGTTTCTTGGTTAGATTTAATATTTTCTTATATGATCCTTATATGATCTTAAGTTGCCAGTTTAATTCAACGATTATTGGAAATTTTCCTAATTATGTGCATATCTACAATTATATTAGGTCTAGTGTCCATTATGAAATCTTTTTAATTATTTATTATTTTATTAACTATATTCATCATGAAATTTTAATAATATTCATCTAATATAAAAAATTATATTATAAGTGAAACTGGTTGTAGATAGATGTAGTGGGGACATGGCATGCAACTGGTTTTGAGTTATTGGGATCAAAGTCTTTATATTTGGGGCGTCTTTTGCTGACTTTGGTCCATGCACTCTTGAACGGCATATTACGTCATACGTACCACTGGATACGCATACAGATCCAATTATGTATGTATATATCACACAAGTTATTTAATGAAAGGTCAAATATTTTATGGTCTTTGTTCTAATGAGCTCACCTTTATCCTTAGAATAAATATAATTTATCATTTTCATCATTATTATATTTTCGAATCAATTAAGTCTTTAAAATTATTTAATTACATCATTCTATACCCTAAACATTAACTTAATACCCTAAACCTTAACCTCTAAAACTTAACTCATAAACCCTAAATAATAGTAAATACTTTAAACAATGATGCAATTGAGCAACTTCGAGAGTTAAATTTATACAAAAACACTATAGTGGCGAAAATGATAATTCAGATCTACTAGGGGAAAAAGTGATCCTTAGGCATGATAATTATTATAATCCTAAACGTTACACGAATCAAACTACTTTAATGGTTAAAGAAATAATTATTATTTTAAAAGTTCTCAAGTTTGAGTACATAGATAAAAATATTTGAACTTTCATTATCAAATAATTAAAAGTCTTTAGAATATATATTACTAATTGTAACCAACTTATTAATAAAAATATAATATTAGAGCGTCGTACAAATACATATTATTTTAAATTATTTTTTCGTAATCACATCTAAAATGGAAGAGATATAAGATTCCATGATTATCGATATTGGATAATATTACTATTAGCTTCTACGCATGTGCTTGTCTATATTTGCTGTAATGATAGATACACAATTATTCATTTCATTCATAGGTTATACGGATCTAAAATGTTTAATTTTTATATTTTATTTATTTTAAATGTTTAAAGTTTTTTTATTAAAATATGTGTCTACCGATTATTTTGTTATTATTTAAGATATTTGACAATTAAAAAAATTGCTATCCAATCAGAGTTAGCCATGTCACATTTTTTTATTTTTCTAGAAAAATTAAAATCATTAATTTTATAAATCCATAAAATCTCTAAATTACTCAAAATCCGTAACCCTAAATCTCTAATGCCACATGTCACCGTTGAATCAACCAATATCGGTCACTCTTTATCATTGGATTCTCACTAATCGGTCACTCCTTTATCGTTACACATCGTCGCTTGAAATAAAACGATCGCATCACTTAGTCGATAATCATGTTGCACGAGATCGATTTTTTATGAAACTATGCATGTTTGTTTGTAGTTGTTGTGAGGCTACACCACCGCCGGAACCAAAACTGAACTGTCCAAACCTCCACTCATCGTCTAATCTTCTATTGTTTAAGGATATTTAGAAATTTGAGTTTCAGAAATTATAAAATTTATGATTTTCTTAGAAATTTAATACTTTTATTTTGGAAAATTGATATTAATCAGAAACTAATGTCATGTATTAAACTATTATTGATGATAATTTTTTAATGATTTGACCGAACATCTCTAAATGATAATGAAATGAAACTTTAAACAATTTTTTAAAAGAAGAAATTATTTTTTAAAAAAATAGGAAATATCTCAAATTATAATAAAGATTTACAATTACAGTATTAAATTAAGCAAATAATTAGGAATTTGTCTATAATAATTGAAACAAAACTACCAACTTAAGATCACATAAGTATCATACAAGGAAATATTAATTTTAACCTAGAAATTCGAACAAAGATAGATACAAACAGATCTGATCGTATCGGCAAACGAATCACAAAAAGGGATCAAACTATTGAAAGAGCACCGACAAATCGTAAATCAGACTCGAGCGATGTGGAAAGTTATCCATGAACGCAAATTGGATATCCAAATTCAATACGAGGGTCCAAAGCATGGAAGATCAACAAGATATCAGAATAAACATCATCTTGATCAGTCGTGGCGATGTCAAATCAACCCTTAGAAAAAATAATAACGAAAAAACGGCCAAAGAATCGAAAAATGCAACAACAAAAAAAATGTGTCATAAAGACAGATGAAAACATACAACACAGGCAGACTTTTTGAAAATAAAAAAAATAATATAATATAAAAAAAGACAATAAAGAGTACCGACAGTCAACAATTAATATTAAAGTTGATGTCGCTGCCGATTAACAAAACCAAAAAAAAAAAATAGATGAGCGGCGCACTAATGAAAGAAACCTAAGTTTTTTTTTAGAGAAGACGGTGAATGAAAACACAATAACTTTAAACAATTTAAATGGTAACAAAATAAATGTTAAACAAATATTTTGATCAAAATATTTTAGGTACTTAAAACAAACTAAAGGTATAATTTGATCACTTATTTTTAATTAAAATTTCAATTAATGATAATATTCTTTAAACATGCGTGTTATTTGTTTAATCTCGTGTTAATATTTTTATAAATTCCAAAAACTGGCCTAATTGCTACTTTTGACCATTGACTGAAAAGCACGTGCGCGGCATCTTTTTATAATACCGATATATTGGTTGATGATTCGGCGACGCACGTGCATCCTCAGCCTTCCCCGACAATATATACGATAATGATAATAATAACCATTAATGTCTTCACTTCCATGTTTTTTAACCTCTCTTCTCCTTTAAAAAAATTCAGCGGTGAGATAGCAACATAGCTGTAACTAAGCTGTAAAAACGGATCTGCTTAGATTCAAATACTTAAATCTCTTATTCTCTATTCGGATTCACACTTGTTTCCAATACAATGTGATTATTCAGGAAACAATTAACAATCATGCACCTTAAAACAACTAAATCAACAACCAGTTGCATTAGTATTATACGATTAAATATGTCATAATTAAAAGTCAATCTACAATCAATCGCGATTATTGCAATTTTAAGCAAAACATTCAAAAATAATATCACTATTTAAGGCTCAATCCCACATAGTATTGAGAACAAGTGTTGGTAATGCTCAATCCCATATAGTATTGGAAACACTATTGGGAATGGTATTTAAGGCTTGACTTTCCCACTTCTTTGTTGAGTGATAGAGAACAAGTGGGACTCTCGCGCGCCGCCGCCGTCCGTCTCGTGGTCGTGGTAATACGTGTCTTTGACACGTCCGCGCGAATAATATCTTTTTAGAGTAAATTCTTAAGAAACAAATGCAATACCACCAGTCGTTGCGATTTTGGACTATCGCAACGAATTTGGAATAAATCGCAACGCGAACTTCGACTATCGTTGCGAATCTGGAAACTGATTTGCGATACCAGAGATCGCGTTGCGAATTATCGATCGCATTGCGATTTAGTTGGTCATTTTGCCAAATCCAAAAAAATTTGGTTAAAATCGTATATTATAAGACATTATTGGTCACTGAGGTTATTTTCTATTTTTTTTATTAAACAACATATTCATTTGAATTTGAACGTGGTTTTATGTTTGGGTTGGGGGATGATTCATTTGTATCTTATGCATGATTTTAGTCTTATGCTTATGGTGGGGTTTATTTAAGGTGGACATGGGTTGGGATTAGGTCAGGTTTCGGCCAACCCGACCCAGTCAAAAAAATTTACATCATTCACCCGACCCGACTTTCTGACATAAAACCCGAATACGACCTGAACGACAGACCCGAAATAATAATAAAATAGTATTTTCATTAAATAAAAACATTGATTTAATTGAAAAAAATATATAGAGAGGGGTATTATTGTAATTATTCTTAAATATATAAGGTAAAATTATTTTTTTTTGTCAGGCCGGGTCATGCATTTTCACCCTAAACCCAAACCGATCCAAACACCACCTTTGAAAAACCAGACCCGACCCAACCCAAATTAAAAAAAAACTCGGCCCAATCGGGTTGAAACCGTAAGGTTCGAGTCCCATGCCCATCCCCAGTTTATTGTTGTTTGCAAATGGCGATGTTAAAACTTAGTTTTGGGGATAACAATGAAGTGAAGTGAAATGTTATCAAATCTATTACACAATTGGAATATTCTATTTTATCACATACTCTATTTTATAGATGTTAAATATATTTATTTTCGTCCTGCCTTTATTTAGCTCTTATTAATAATTTATATTTTTTAAAATTTTAAATGTAAATAGCTACGAAACATAAATTAACAAGACGAGACACACAATTATCATAATTACTTTATATTTATTTAAAAAAATTATCTTGTAAACTCATTAAACTTCATGTGTGATAAAAAAGTGTTGTTATTCTAGAAGGTCATCGGGTTAAAATAAATGTATATGAAGGGTGCGTATTATATAATTAATAAAAATCTGAGAATATGTTACCTTATAATAAGAGCCGACTATTAGGTTAAATACCCTCAACAACTGCTCAGGTCCTAACTTTTAAAAGGGCCTCAAAATTTTCAATATATTTTTTTTATTTTTATAATTAAAATCCTTAACTTTTTAATTTTTTTTTGTCTCTTTATAATTGAATCTCATAATTTTTTTTAATATCACTTTTTACATTTATTTCTTAGGCCTCTGCACGAACCAAATAATTTCAATGATAAATGAATTGTTATTATTTCTAGATGTCCAGAGTTCGAGCACTAGAAATGCCAAGGGTGTGAGCGTTCAATATCAAATGGTTGGGAGTTATCTTTGAACAAATATCGCCTTGTACTTATCTTAGGTTAATAAAAAAATTATTGAGGCCCCTTATTTTTCAATATCAATTTTTTTAATTTTACTTTCTATATTTATAATTGAAGCACCTAATTTTTTTAATCTCACATTTTACATTTATAATTGAGTCTCCTAATTAATCATTTTATATGATTTATTAGTATAATATTAAATTATTTTTTCAAGTGATGGAATATATTTTCGTTCTATAAAAAATCTACTCTTTAGTTTTGCTATGTACGAAAACATGTTCGAGACAATTCTCCTTATAATCATCCCAAATTAATAAAAAAATATTTTTTCGCTGAAAAGAAGAATTCTGATGCAGTGGAAGGGCATTTTTATTGTCGCGGAAAAGTTTAAAGATAATAATTTAAGGTAAAATTAGCTCAATAATCCTCGTGGAATAATTGTTGGATTTATATAGCATCCAGAAATTAATTAGCAATTTACGATAATTGTTACGGTGATTAAAAACTCGTAGAAAAGGCGATTTTCAATAAATATATTTTTTGATTGAAACTTTATCACTCCCTATTAACAAATTCTAATAAAAAAAATTAGATATATATATTTTAAAATTTGTCAAGTGCATGTAACGAATTCTAATAAAAAATATATTTTCTTAAAACTCATCAGTTTAATGTGATGAGTTGACCTCTATTGTCGTAAATTCCAAAATAAATTTTAGAATGTCCTATTAGACTTAATAATTTATCCACTTGAATTATTGTCAGATTTTGTCCTATTTTAATGTTGGGGAACGCTAAAGATTTATCAAAGATTAATTTAAAATTAATGAATGTTTTACAATAGTAGAATAAAAATGCTCATGAGAAGAATAAGAAATTCATGTTATGATTATGAGAATAAAAATACAAGAACAGAATTTGATTTCTCTCCTTTTGGATGTACCTTCCTAAATTGAAAGAAAGGGGACAAACCAGTGCAATAGCATCTCGGGTAGCCATTGCCAATATATCAGCACAAGAGACCTTGTTTCTGCAAAGCGGGACCGCATCCCCAGCTTCTTTGGCTTTGATCACGGTGTCGAATCCGTCTCCGGCTAACGACAGGTTATCAGGGTGATCCTTTTCGGCCTTGTTGCCACCGGACGACGCGATCATCGCCGAGGCATCACAACCCTTTTGAAAAATAAAAGAAAATGCAGCTAACATTAGTACAAGAAAGGTTGAACAAATTTAGCCAATATGGACACGAGGGAGTTCTTTCAATGTACCTGCACAAAGCAATCATGGAAGAAGAACCGGACCTTCGCCGGATCCGTGACGAAAGTTTGTCGGAAATTCTTGGTGACAGCATCTCTAACAATGTTCTCTACATTGGGACATGTTTTGCGGTAGTAATTTTTTCTTAGATTAGCTGATGCTGTACCAGGAAACAAGCAGAAACCAAGACATAAGGAGAGAAAAACGACAAGTACAAGACTATTAAGGGATCGATCCATTTGATCAAGAGCTAAATAGACAGGAAAGGGTTAATGTCCATATCATTGTTAATTTTTGGACATACTCTAATAATCTCTCATTAATCGCAGGACAAAACCACTCATATATATAATACCAGATAAATGAATGTGTCCTTTTATATTCAACTCTTTTTCCTCTCCATATAAAAGGAATATGTATCTTTAGTCCTTTTCAAGTATTTAAGGATATTTTTGAATAAAATTTCAATTAAAATAATAATTTAATTCGAAAAGAATCTTTCTATTATATTATTAATTCAAATAGGTATCAAAATTGATATATCTCACGTCTAGGACGTTTAGAACAAATTAGATTTCTTCATAAGTCGGATTGTAAACCCGAATCAGCTTAGACTAAAGGACAAGCAATTAAATAATGAAAATAAATGGGCCAAGCCTAATTGGCTTGAATGAATGAAGCGCCAACCTTCCACTTTTATTCTGCCTATTGCTAGTTTGCGCCATGTTCACCTCCCGCCTTCCCTTCGCCCACCCCGGTGGCGATAACCCTGAGATCGACGAGTTCTCCTGTCCGATTGGCCGACGAATCATGTCCAAATCTCGCGTTTATACTGACATCAACGTTCTTCGTCCCAAAGAGTACTGGGATTACGAGTCCCTCAGAGTTCAATGGGGGTAACTTTTAAATTAATTCATCGAAAAGTTCCTTGATTATTGGATTTTCCCTTTGATTGTCTTAGTTGAAAGTTACATTAGGTTTCGTCGAGTAATGCCTATTCAGGATTTGTGGAATTAAGTTAACGTGATCTTTGAATCTTACTAATCGTGTTTCCTCTGATAATTTGTGTAACATTTTACGTATAATCCGAATCTTTTTGTTGTTTGATTCAGTTCATGATTGGTGTAAATTCCTTCCCCCCTCCCCCTTTCTTTTTCGTGTTTCTCTTTTAGTGATCAAGATGATTATGACGTTGCTCGAAAAGTTGGAAGGGGAAAATACAGTGAGGTTTTTGAGGGCATAAATGTCAACAACAATGAGCGTTGTATTATCAAGATCCTCAAGCCTGTCAGGAAAAAGAAGGTTAGTACTTTTGTTGTCTGTCAAATTGATCAGGGTTCGAGTAAATTTATATGAGAAAATCTTAAGGCATAATATCAATTAGACTATTTTACTTGGATTTGGATGTGAATGTTGGATACGAGCATGTCTTTGACATGAGTATGTTAAATTTCTTTTAAAAAAGAGAAATATATGTACTTAGTGTAATAATCCTTGTACCTTTGCCCAAATATATGTCAAACATGGGATTTTATTGGAGAATCATTGGCTATACATTATAGAAATAAGCTTTATTTATTATTATTGCTATTATTGGCAGATAAAGAGAGAGATTAAAATCCTTCAGAATCTATGTGGTGGTCCAAATATTGTTAAACTTCTTGATATCGTGAGAGATCCGCGCTCAAAAACATTAAGCTTGATATTTGAGTATGTCAACAGTACAGATTTCAAAGTTCTCTACCCAACTTTGACAGACTATGACATTCGCTACTATATATATGAACTTCTCAAGGTAACATTATGTTCCTCATCCTAACTTTCAATGTATTGAATTTTGCTCCATCATGATATTATTTAGTGATTGCTTGTTGGAGGGTTCTTGACTTGCATGTTTGCATTAAAGAATGATAAGGAGATATTTCTTTGCTTTGTAGGCGTTAGATTACTGCCATTCGCAAGGAATAATGCATAGAGATGTCAAGCCTCACAATGTCATGATAGATCATGAGTTGCGCAAACTTCGCTTGATAGATTGGGGACTTGCGGAGTTTTACCATCCTGGGAAAGAGTATAGTGTCCGTGTGGGTTCCAGGTAATGCTTTGAAGACATTAAACATCATGAATCATATGACCAACTTTCCCCCTGTATACTTTTTTAATTTTCAAGATTGCTTATTTTAATGGTGACATTGAAACAGACTAGCATTAGATATTTGTCCTTTTCTAAAAAAATTAAGAAAATTATTTTGTGATGAATTACATGTATGCTTGCTGTGCTATACCTTGAAGTGGCTTTCCTATCTGAATTTGCTTTGCATTACATTCGTATCGATGCAAAATGTAGTACAAAACTCATTAACCAAGACAATCTGTGAGAAATTAGATAGTACCACGTTTATTTATTTTTAAAGAGCTAGCTGGATGCCTGAATAGCACTGCTGCTTTATTATTGTTATTATATTTTTTATAGACAAGTGCTATTACTTTCAACCATTAGAGGATGAGAAGAAGCTCCAGAGTTCAGGTCCTTTAGATTATGCTATTCTTTGATACAAGAACCTTTTAGAAAGGAGGAAAGACCTATACTCTTTTAAGAACAACACAAATAAACAGATTTGCATTTTTTTGAATCTTAATACAGTTCCAAGTGTTTTCCTTCGGTTTACTGTGTCAGATACAATATAGATTCAATTCTGAGAAGTTTAATTTCCCTCCTTCTCAGGTACTATAAGGGGCCTGAGCTTCTGGTAGATTTGCAGGACTATGATTATTCCTTGGACCTGTGGAGCCTTGGTTGTATGTTCGCAGCAATGGTGAGAAATATTCTTATTCTAGTTTAAATGCATTAAGCTTTGACTTGAAACTTCTATATTGGGTGCCTAATAGTGTAATTACGATCTTGATTGAGTAGATATTCCAGAAGGAACCATTCTTCTACGGCCATGACAACCAGGATCTAGTTAAAATTGCCAAGGTAATATGCTCCTGCAGATTGGCAGATGTTATTGTTGCTGAATATTTATTTTCCTAATCATTTGTCTTGTTAAATCGACTTTCCAGCTGGTATAATGCATTTTTTTTACTCCTACCAGTAACGTATTAATCTAGATAATTGTATTGTACCTCGTCCAACTTATATTATCCATCTTGTTTTTGTGATCTACTTCTGCACAACCTTTTCAGCTAGTGCTGTTTATTGCTATTCTTTGTAGATGCAGCATTATCCATGCAGGTTTAGATTTAATTATTTATTCCTTCTTCATAGTCATTACTTGATAAGGGATAAGGGGTGTACTTTACGGCTTTCTTAACAAAGTTTTGCCAGTTTATGCTGATGCTACTAAGCTTTCGACTGTCATTAATGTAACTTCAGGTGCTAGGAACTGACGGGTTAAATGCATATCTGAACAAATACCATTTAGAGCTGGATCTTGAACTTGATGCTCTTGTTGGAAGGTATATTAAGAATTAATATGTCCAATATGTAGGTTCAATGTTACTCTGTCTCCAGCGTGAGTGTCTGGTATGGGTATGTGTCTGGCATGGGTTGCTTAATTGTTTCGAAGTTTTTATATATACTTGGAGGGTTCTTGGAGGGTCATATCCCAATACCTATATCCGAATACATGCTTGATATGGGTTTTTTAAAAAAATTGAAGAGTCAATGCAACATAGTGCAGGATTTCGTACTTATCATGAACAAAAACTCTGGTTAGCATTAAGTCATGCTGTGCACCCTATGGTGTTGCAGTTTCACACAAGGATGAGTAGACATGTTCATAGTGTGCAATGTAATTTTTTCTCAACGTATTTGGTATGTTGTTTCTCAGGCACAGCTGCAAACCTTGGTCCAAATTTATTAATGCAGATAATCAGCATCTTGTTTCTCCAGAGGTTATTTTTCTTCTAGAAGCATACTATTAGGAAGTTGAATACTATAAGTTCCGTTACAGTAAACTAAATGTTAATAGTAACTTTCATTCTTTGAGCTCTTTGACTTTCAGGCTATCGATTTGCTTGATAAGTTGCTTCGGTACGACCATCAGGACAGGCTAACTGCGAAAGAAGCCGTGGTAGGTCTATACGTGCTAACACTCGTCCGAATAATGGAATTGGGTATATGATTTTCAAGGACTCTCCCAATACATGAAAAGGCTTTAAAAAAATCCGATCATTCTGGTGTCCGATGCGTACAGCTGAGTTCGAGTAACGTAGTAATGAACCCCCATTGCTTGGCATGTGATACAATTTAATTTCATGCTGCAGGCCCATCCTTACTTCTCTCAAGTGAGGGCAGCCGAATGTTTCAGGATGCGCACTCAGTAAACGGGTACACTCGGGGTTCCTTTGTAAAGCAATCAATCCAGACTCATTTGGATGCATTTATTGTATTTAAATGTTTATATAATCCTTAGAGTTAGGAAAGTTGAAAGGGTTGTGTATGAAATATTTACCATCATTTAAATGTTATTTAATCCTCAGCAAACGCATGGCATGTTTGATCATATTTTTATGATATTTTAATTAGATATGAATTTTAAATTGATTTTTAGTCAACATGCATTATTTATAAATTAAGGAAAAAAATATTCTCTGCTTAAACGAATTGAATATTAATTAAATTGATCAGCAAGTAAATATGTGGACCAACTTTCCTTATTGGTCATATGCAAATCCTAGAAATTGATCAGCAAGTAAATACGTGTACCAACTTTCCTTATTGGGCATATGCAAATCCTAGGTTAAAAAGAGTCTTAAATTAATTTTACGAAGTAATAATTGTTTTTCGTTTTATTAAAAGTTATAATGATATATTTTATCAAATTATTAAAATTAATTTTATAGTAACCATTTAGGATTGCATGTGGATATTAAATTAGAGGTCATATGTTATAGTACCAGAGATTGTGTGGACAATTTCCCTATTGGAGTTGGGCTCGAGGATCAAATTAACTATGACTTTAGCCCTGACAACTCTATGGCAACAGTGGACCTGAAAGAAGATGGGGTAAATTATTGCTTGCCTGGGTGGGCTCGAAACCAAGTAGGCCTTATGGATAAAACTTATCTTCGGCTATTGGTATTGAACTAAGACAAAGCTAGGGCTCTTGGGAGATCGTATCTGATAGCTTAACCACTCGCTCGTCAATTCTATGGTAGTTTCAATTTTGGTGCTGGTTTACGTAAGGAAGGGAGCGCTTCGCCCTGCAGTGATCAGAAAGGAGATGAGGAGGCATATTAGAGAATCTTTAGAACAATCGGACTGCCCGAGTCATAACCAAAGTGTGGTTGGGGCCGACGATGAAATTGGAGAGGAAGTCGATGCAGTCTGGGAGGTGAGGTAAGCCGATGCGGTCTGGGAGGTGAGTAAGCTTGGTGGCAAATGGGCGATGTCAGAAAAAGTTAGAGCTCTGGAAGTCGAAGTTAGGCGGTCTGCATGACGGCAAGCAGAGGAGATTTTTCAGGTTTTATTCTCGGTCTCCAATGAATCTATCTTTAATCACTTGGAATGTCAGAGGCTTTGGAAGGAGGGAGAAGTTAAGAGCGGTGAAAACCTTAATTACAAAGTCAAAGGCAAAAATGTTTTTCTTTCAGGAAACGAAATTGGCTGAAGTGAACGTGTCGATGTGTAGAACGTTATGGGGTTAAGGGAATCTGGATTGGGTTTTTAGCCCGGCGGATGGTTCAGCTGGTGGTCTTATGTGCCTTTGGGACCCTAATTTTTTTGTAGTATCCTCGAGGATTGTGAGCAGAAGGTTCATTGCCTTAGTCGGTTTCATTCCCAGCAAGAACTCGACATGCGGGTTTCTAGATGTTTACGGTCTGTCAGCTGATGGGGAGAAAGAGGAGTTCTTCAGTGAGCTGTTAAATTCAATTGCCAATCTTTCAATTTCGTGGTGTGTGTGGGGAGACTTCAAAGCGTTCATTCACTCGGAGTAGAAAATTGGAGCGTCCATCAATTACAGGGTTATAGGTTATTTTAGGAATTTCCTACAGCAGTATGGTTTAGTGGATCTACCGTTGGCGGGTGGATCGTTTACCTGGTTGAATAACAGGGATAATGCGACATTTGTAAGGCTTGATCGTTTTTTAGTTTCTAATGATTTTCTGATGTTTCCTGCGACAGTACAGAAATTGTTGGCGAAATCTCTTTTCGACCATAATGCAGTAATACTTGAAGAGGATACGGTAAATTGGGGACGTAAGCCTTTCCGTTGTTTCAATTTTTGGTTGGATAAGAGTAGTTTTGTCTCATTTGTAAAAGCTGCGATGAAAGACGTTGAATCTGTTCACGGTGATGAGGAAATTGAGACTCTTCTACATGTTGCCAAAAGAGCTGCGATTGGTTGGTCGAAGGAACAATCTTTTGATTTTAAGATGGAGATTGGGGACCTTGAAGCAAAGATCAATAAGACAGAATCAGATTTATTGGCGGGTAGGGAGAACCAAAACATAATTGCAAAGCTAAGATTAAGTAAATCCGGGATGTTGTTTTTGTGCCGTCGGTGACGATGGGGGCCTTAGTGATTTTCAAGCTTTCGAGAAGGCTTTATGGGCGAAGCGCTAAGGTGGTGCCGAGGAAATCGGCGTCGTTTAATAAGCCTCGCGTACTTGAGCCGGAAGCGGCCGAGGAATTCCAACTTCCTTTAGATTGAAAAATGAAATGCCTTTTGCTTGCCTCACTCGAGCTTTTATTTAGTGTTATATGTTTGGTACAAAATTGCAGGTCCGAAATGTATGCTTATGAGTATATTAGAAACTAATAAAAATCTGTTAATTTAAGATTTAAACGGAAAAAAAAGATGAGTATAGTAGAAACTAATAAAGACCTGTTAATTTAAAATTTAATATTATCAGTTAGCATCACAATTCACATCGGGGGAAAAAATCTTTGATGAACTGATCATGCATCTATGGTGAACTTTAATATTAACAACAACAAAAAAACTACATAAATGGCTGCTGTGATGGTTGCAATCCGCCGCCACTGTAGCTTCCATAGTTAGATGTAGCTGCATTGTATGACGGCGTCCGAATTTTGTCATCTTGAGTATAGTAGTATAATCTTTGATCATTGGCTTGAGGGGTGTAGGACGGTTGGTTCGGGACTTGATAACTGCAGGGGTTTGGACCGGCATGAGTATACCTTTCTGGCATCCCTGTAAAGGCAGTTCTTTGGCTGTAAACCGGTGGAGCTAGCCTACCTGGAGGTCCCCGAAATCCTCGAAATCCACTGTTGGGTCTTGATTTCTTCCGTGGGTGATATTTACTGGAATCTCCCCCTCTTTTCTTAGAGTCTGCTTTTGCTTTCTCGAGTTGAGCCAACCTTTTCTGGAGTGGATCAAGGGAGTAATCTGATTCTAGACCATAGTCCTGAACACATCTTACTACGGCTTTCAAGGCAGCAAGTTCTCGTGCATTTATGTCATCCTGTATATGAAGAAATCACCGGTTGGTATTTTACTGTAGAGATAAATCATAGTAACGGATCATCATTCGGTATAAGCATACATTACCTGTGAACCATCAGCACCACGAGAGCCCCCGCCCTTCCCTTGTGAGTTTCTCCGCAAATCTTTCAAGAACATCTTCAGGAGGGGCACAGGAGGAAACCTTTCGGTAAGCTGGAATGCATGAATAAATCGTACTGCATCGACTTGTCTCCCGCTGTTAATCAATAACTCAACAAGACCTGCCATAGTAAGACTTGGTTTAGCAAATCAACAGAAAACAGTGGTATAGCCATCAGGAAGACACAAATACATTAGTGTTAACTTCAGATTCATCGTATGGAAACAATGGTCCTGCCTCCATACCGACCTGGCATTTTCGGTGTTAATCCAAGGGAACAGCAAAGCTCAGGTGCCTGCCGGCTGTGAGCAACTACAAAAACAAGCTTGCAGAGTTGTTCTTTCTCAAACTCCGAAGCGATCTTAAAAGCAGCAAGGAGCTGCAAAAATGCTTCAACTTCCAATGAATTGTCAATGGCAGCCCCACTGCCTGCATTAGACAACTTAGGTTTCCACTCATCAGCAATTGCCTTGGCTAGCAGCTTGATTTCAGGGTTCAAAAGGTGAGTATTGTCGGGGTCAAATTTGGCCAAAAAGCTAGCCATGGCTTCTAATAAGACGACACAGGACTTGCGCATGCCCTGAAGGGAGGCATCCGTCTTATCCACCGTTTGAGTTGTTTCATCCGGAGGGTAAAACCCCTCCAGTGAATTCAGCACCAAACGGGCTGGTTCGCTTGCACTTTCAAGTGCAAGGGGATGTTCCCGACAAATGTCATTAAGAAATTTCAGATTCGCTGTTATGAAATTCCGAAGTCCTTTTGCATTCATTTGCTCACTAAAGTTTGTCAGCTCTGGACATGGCTTAACAATGGCAGCCATGTTTTCAGTATTTTCACTTGTTTTACAAGGAAAGTCCTCATCAGGGGAGTTTTTATCACCAACAGAACTGCTTACCTTGGTGTCTTCGTTTTCCCCAGCATCAAGAGAATATGCAATCGTTGACTGGAAATTTGCACGTGCCTCAGCAATGATAGCAACAGCAGCATCTTTCAGCTCCTGGACACGGTCTAAGTAATCTTGTTCCTTAGCAGCAACAATTGCCTCCTTCTCAACAATCAATGCAAGAGATTCAGCTTCCTTCACCTCGTATTCCTTCTCCTTAGTTTCTAGCTCCTCCGATTTCTTCTTTAACTTCGCCTGGAGATAGTGGAAATATGGTTCGATTTCTGTCCAATGAACCTTGTTCTCTGAATCATCCTTGAAAGCTTCAAGTTCATGAACCGCCTTATAAAGCTGATCTATCAGAGATGAAGCACAATCACTTGCCTCGTGTTGCTCAATTCCAGCCATAGATGCCCAAAGTCACCGGTAGTTCAAGACAATGCAATGAGAACCAATTGCAAATTCTTGAATAAACAAACATAAAGAATTAGCAATATAAACATAAAGAAAATTTTCATGGAATATCGGAACCAACACAGACTACCCTAGGCAGGAGTAAAACATTAAATACTTTCAACATCTCAAAATAAGTCTAGCGTCCATGCGCTACCTTATCAAGGAACCGGAACATCGATAGGATTAGGAACATTAATCCAGAGCTTGACTACCCAATGGCGGTGGAATGCCATATTTCTGGAGATGTTATAAGAATTCAAATAGAAGATAATCCCCAAATTCATGTTCTTACTTCTTTGCACCAGGTCTGAAATCAGCTATTCAACTATTCAGGACTCTAAAGAACCCTAATGTCATAGCAATTGATAAAAGAACGAACATGATAAAAGAAGATGAACATTCAGTTCCAATTATCAATTATTTAAAGCATGAAATTCGCCTATATTAATTTGCATTGAACTTTTCACAAAATCCCAAATTAAATCCCTTGCTTTCTCAACACCTCTGAAAAAAAATCCCTGATTTTATCTTCTTTTTTCCATCCTTTGCTATATAAATATTTTAAGGCCAACAATCTACATTCTCGAAACAAAAAATCCAGATATCCAACAAAATACATAGATAAAACTGGAAAAAGATTTTTTTTTAAACATTCAAATATCCAACAAAATACATAAAACAAAAAATGGAGAATTTCGGCCGTCAAATTGAAAAAAGAATACCTCAGCTGTAGATAAAGAGGTTGAACACAAAATCAATGAAGGTGAGGCTTTGGGTGCAGAGGGAAAGGAAATGAAGAAAACCCCAGTGTTTCTTTTTCTGTCATGCAAAGGGTCCGTTTCTTTTTCTTGTTTTTCTTCGTCTTCCCCCCCCCCCCCGGATTTTGTAGAATATTAAAAAGAAAATTCTCTCTCATTCAATAAAAAAAAGAAAGAAAGAGAATAATATTCTCTGGGTTTTGGTCCATTTGTTTAATAAAATTGGGCTCAATCCCAATTTACAAGGCATGGTTTCCATCATTTTCTCGGACTTTCTGTTTTTCTTTTATGGAGCCAACAAGAAGAAGCTTTTGTTTAACATTTTTGGGTTCAGAGCCTATTCTGTCACTGATTGATATTTAAAGTGTTTTTTTCAATACAGCAAACGAGTAAATTATTTGAAAAGATAGGGTAAGTATAAGTTTATTTTCAGACGTACAATAATTTGTTTACAGTGTTCATGTAATTTGTTATGTTGAGATGATGAATTTTAATAAAAAAATTATTTAAATTCGACGACGAATTATAATAAAATATATTCTTTATTAAAATTTATCACATCGAAATATTTTTTCATGTGATTTTCAGTTCTTGTATTAGGTATAGTTTTATCTTTTGGTTAATGTAGAGGTTGTATTGAACTTTCGGCAAATCCTAATGTTGTATTGGCATTCTAAGGTGATTGAATGGCCCCGTCACTATACTGAGTATATTTTGTACATGGAGTCGACCATTGATTCCTGATGAACTTCTTCAAACGTCCCTTGGTACCTTGAACACAGTTAGGGCCATTTAATGATATCGCTTGTAACCCTGGTATAATGATAATCTGGTTTGGTGGCTATAAGCCATCTTTTCTGCAGCTTGTTAAACTTCCTCGATCGCCAAATGTTGATGATATTTTGACAAGGTACCTTGAATACAGGTCCAAGAAGGATGGCATGTAAGTTTACTTTTAAATTCGTTAACACCTTCAAACGGTCGTGATTAATTATAGGGTAAACTAGGCATTTAGTACTTAAACCATTAATTTTGGTCCGTTTTAGTACCTAAACTTTCATTTTTTTCTAAATCATATTTAATGTTTAGTTTTTTTTTCATTTTAGTACCCGTCATTAAAAATTTGACGCGTTTAATACCTAAACTATCAGTTTTGTACATTTTAGAACTTAAACTTTTCATTTTTTCTAAATCATATCTTTGTGAATGTTATCTTTTCGGCTTTGCAGTTAAGTTTCCTGAGCTATTGGCTTAGGTGAAAATTGAAGAGGAAACATTAACCCACCTGCAACAGAAGTTGATGGATTTTCACAAGTATCAACCTATCCTCCTTGAATTCATCTTATACTATTTATGGACCATTTAGTCTTTTAAACTCTGGTTCAAAATCAATGAACGATAGGTCGAAGTTTGCATCATTATCATCAACTATTTTAGTCGAAAGCGTATCATGTTAGTCGAATAACCGCATCTCGAGCCAAGATCACATAGATTGTATAATCATCACCATAAATCTTGTTGGAATATGTAACAATAATTGTTGTTTAGAACACCCATTTTGTTTCAGTTTATATATATAGAATTGATTCAGAGCGTTTCTTATATGGAATGCAGGTTTCTACAGAAGAATGAGAGCATATTTTTTCTACCCACCTATGTCCCATCTATGGGATCGAAAGGTAAAGGGAACTACGAATTATGAAATGATCTTTCTTACTCAACAAAACCCTAAAAATTGAAGCTTCCTCCCACCATCATCTTCTCCATTCTTCTGTTCCCTTACATCCACAACAACAAAAACTCAAACTTTCTCATTTCATTCCAACGTCATTATGATAAATGTTTGTATATATCTGTTTGCTATAGATGCAGTTGTGTTTCTTGCGATTTCTAACTTGATTTCGCTTGTGCTTCTTCGACCGGTGGTGAGCTTCCTAAAGATGAAGAGCAGCTGAGGTTTAAAAATGGGAAGAAAAATACAATCCAGCATTATAGCCACGTTCACAAGCTAAGCTTCGTCAAATATAGGAAGATACATGGAGAATTCTTGGATTGTTTCTGGTGTGAAAAACATCTATCGGGAGTGTGCTACGGTTGTTTCGAAAAAAAGATTCAAGTTCTATCTTCATATTGAATGCAATGATAAGATACCAATGACACTTGCTCATCCTTTTCATCCTGGCCACACTCTTCGCTTGAAGTATACCTACGCGGGTGAAAGATTTGCTAAACTTGGGTATATGTGCAGCTTTCACATTGGTATTGACTGTGCTAAACTCTTTCCCACCCTAAAACTTGCCAGCCACCCTCACCTTCTCACATTGGTATTGACTGGGTTCTTTAGTTTCTCTGTAAAGCTTCCATTTTTTAACAATGACGTTGAAATAAACTGGGAATTTTTGAGTTTTTGTGTTTGTTGATGTAAGGAAAGGAAGAATGGAGAAGATGATGATGGGAGGAAGCTTCCATTTTTAGGGTTTTTGTTGAAGAAGAAATGAAGGAGATGACAATTAAGCTGTGTTTATAAAAATTCAAAATTCAAAATATTATTTAAGTTTTATAATAGTTTTGTTCAGTTTTTAACAAGTTATTAAGCTAGCTTGGTGGTTGGGTGTTTAATTTTTATTTTTAAAGGTCTATGGTTTGAATCTCATTGAAATCTTTTTTCTATAAAAAAACGACGATGTTTTGAGCATCAAAACGGCTGTGTCAAAATGACGTCATTTTAGCGAGGGTGTATGTCATCGTCGTCATGGAATGGAGATGCCATGTCATCGTTCCGTTAATGGATTAACGACGGGGTGGTATAATTGTAATTAAACATAAACGTCGGTGTTAAAATTAACGAAATAGAAACTCATTAATGGCATAAACGAGTCTGAGCTTAAAGATGAGTGATATTTCAAGTAGTTAACCCTAAAATTTTTATATGAGATTAACACAAATAAAATAGGTAAATAACCGATAAAAAATTAAATTGTCACATCATAGTATCATTAAAAAATAAATTAACGGTTGAGTGACAAAAAATTCACATATAAATTTGAATCATTAAGTTAAAAAAAATAAATGTATAATAACTGAAATAAAAAATAATAAAATTCAATAAATAAATTTAATGCGTACTTATTCGAATCAAGTAGGGTGTACTTATTCGAATCAAGTAGGGTCGAATTTTAAATGTTATAAAAGCCAAGAGGATTGGATTAAAAGAATCTGTGGTTTAAGTTCCTTGTGCACAATTTGGTCTTCTTCACCATCATAGAACAAGCTTTATGCCCTATCAAACCCTCTAATATCATATATTGGGTGTATATAATAAAAATTTTAATGACGAAGAGGTTAAAGAAGAGATGGAGATTTAATGTTAATACGAAAAATAATTAATTAATTAAAAGTTTAAGATTACATTTAGTTATGATTAATAAAAAAAATTGCTGATATGTTTTGATATTATTAGTTGGGTTTATATCCTACGCGATGAGAATAGTTCATATCATAATTTCTTCTATTTTACAAATATTTACATAATTTAAGATTTGATAATTCAAATAAAAAGAGATTTGATATTTATTTTTGAGGGTAAACGCTTTTGACTCTCTTCTATGTATTTGACGCATTCGATGTCAAATTCAAAAGTTCAAAACGTGGAATCTCAGGTGGCCACAGGAGTTCCCACTTTACGTGTTTGACGACTGTTTGAACAGTATAGTCCCTTGCCTTTGCATTTGTCCTGATTAGGACGGTAAATGAGACTATACCAATATAAAGTTCGTAGAGATTGATTCAGTTAAAATTTGATAAATATTCGATTCGAATTCTTAATAAGTTGATTTTCATTTCAAAGTTTTTAAGTCGAGTTGACTTCGATAATACTCAAACTCGACTCATCTCATTTACAACCTTAATCTTGATAGCTAACGAAGATTAATATTGTTATTATCTAAAAATTCCAAATAAACACGAATCAATCAACTTTAATAGTTAAGAGATTTGTTATTATCTCTTAAGGTTTTAAGGTCGAACACCTCATATGCGGTATATGATCACTTATTATCAAATAGTATAAAATTTTTGAATATATAATATATATTATATTTACTTCAGATTTAACAAAAAAAAAGTTACAAACAAATCATTCAATTAAAATATTATTATAAACAACTATCATTAAAATTGAAACGGACATCTAATGTGTCTTATTATAATAACATTTTGTTCCCTAAAATTTATACATTTTATCATTTTTTCTTAAGTCGAAATAATTTAATAAAATTTAACTATTTATATTTAAAAATTCTAATAATTTAATTTTTTACGATGTAATCAAACCAAGCGAAGTCCATTAGATTAAAACAGTGGTTAGATGACAGCATTTTATAATAAAGCATCCACAAGTTATTATTAAAATATTATTATAACATAAAAGCAATATTGCATTTCTGAAAGATCAAAGACAAAATTGATAAAAAAAAATTAAATATTTAAAGTTTAAATTTATTAAACTATTTCATATTTAAGATCAAATATTGTCTAATTCTTCTTACCTCAATTTACTCTATTCATTACTTCAAAAATTTTAACTTAATCTTATCTAAAAATCTAATACATATCCAGCTAAATAACTTATTTACACTTTAAAATTATTTTGGGTAAAGTATACAAATGATCCCCCGACTGTAAGATAATACTTTATTGAGTCTCTTAGTTATTAAAAGTTACAAAATGATCTCCTATTATAGAGAGTTACTTTGTTGAGTTCCTCAACGATTAAAAGTTACAAAATGACCGCCCTGCTATTCATTATGATCCAAACACGTCATTTTCCATTAAAATTTTGATGGCAATCCAAGTTGTAATTCAACTTGCTAACTTATATATATGATAAAATATGATCTCATAATTTCAAACGACTATCATATATCAGTCAACATATTAACGTTCAAATCAAACGACTTTTATTTTTTTAAAGAAGAAGGACGAGTAGTTGAGTGACTATCTTGTAACTTTTAATAGTCGAGGGTTCAACAAAGCAACTCCCTATACTTGGGGATTAACTATTAATAATCAAGAGACTCGATAAAATAATATCCTATAATCAGAGTATTATTTACATACTTTAACCAATTATTTTTCAAAAAAAAAGCTTTTAACTGTTAATCGAATCGAGGCATAACAGCTTTACTTTTCTAGCGTATTGGACCACCAATTAAGTTGTTCGAACCACATTGTTTGACCATTAATTGCATCTATTTCATCTAGAAACTATACATGTACACGTATAAGACACTTATGAAATACTAATCATTAGGATGGTATTCCAAACAAGTACCAATATTTTGTTTTTTTAACATTAAAACCAAAATTATAAAAAAATAGCTGTTACAACTATCGTATTGAATCATATAACTTTAAATTAATGAGTCACTTTCAAGAATTAAAAGTAGAAGGGTTAAATTTTTAAAAGCGTGAAGAGTATAGAGACCAATAATATAATAACCAAGAAAATAGCACGCGCAAAGGAAGAAGATGATTGGGGGATGTAATTAAAATAATGGGTTTAGTCGGCCGTAGCGGTTGCGACGAGGACAAGCATCCCCCCTTTGACGGGGCCAAATTCATGAACCCTACGTTTCAACCCTTTTGTTTTTCTGCCTTATAATTTCCCATCTGAATCAACATTTTCCCCAAACCTAATCTTTCTTCTTCTTTTCTCTGAGAAAACGGTCCAAAGAGAAGAGTCTAATCCGAGGTGCTGTTTGTACCGGTGGCGCGTATACTGCACCCGCTGCAATGGGCCAATCTCCTTCCGCTGCTTTAGATAGGGAGAACTCCTTCAGCGATCGATTCGGCTTTTCCACTTCTAGTTTTGTTTCCAGCGATGGATTTTCCGATGAGTTTGTGGAGAATCGGGATTACACAGCTGAGATTCCCGATGACTGTTTAGCTTATGCTTTTCAATTCCTCGGTCCCGGAGATCGGAACCGTTGTTCGCTCGTCTGTAAGCGGTGGCTTCGCGTTGACGGTTGGAGCCGCCACCGATTGTCTCTCAACGCCCAATCTGAGATCGTCGCTTCTTTGTTTTCTCTCTTCACGCGCTTCGATTCCGTAACGAAACTCAGTCTGCGTTGTAGCCGTAAATCTATCAGCTTAAACGATGACGCTTTGGTGATGATCTCAATCCGTTGCCGAAACCTTGAACGGTTAAAGCTGCGCGGTTGTCGTGAAATCAGCGACGAAGGGATGTTGGCTTTTGCTCAAAATTCTAAGAATCTGAGGAAGATTTCTTGCAGTTCTTGTATGTTCGGCGCCAGAGGCTTGAACGCCGTCCTTGATTATTGCACGAATTTAGAAGAGTTATCGGTGAAAAGGCTCAGAGGGATCAACGATGGAGCTGAGGCTATCGGGCCGGGAGCGGCGGCTTCTTCACTGAAAACGATTTGCTTGAAAGAGCTCGTTAACGGTCAGTCCTTTGAACCGCTTGTTGTTGGAGCTAAAAACCTTAAAGCTTTGAAAATTATTCATTGTTTGGGTGATTGGGACAGAATCCTTCAATTAATTGGGAATCAAAATCGATACAAAAAGGAAAATTTAGATCCTAGTAACTATGATAGCAACGGTAACAGTGATCAGTTGATGGAAATTCACCTTGAGAGGCTTCAAGTAAGTGATATAGGCCTATCTGCTATTTCCAAATGTACCAGAATTGAGAGTTTGCATATTGTGAAAACCCCAGATTGTTCGAATTATGGGCTTGTTTGTGTAGCTGAACACTGTAAGTTGTTAAAAGAAGCTTCATGTTGATGGGTGGAGGACTAATAGGATTGGAGATGAGGGTTTGGCTGCTGTTGCCAAACATTGTCCTAATTTTAGAAGAACTCGTTTTGATTGGTGTCAATGCTACTTATTTGAGCTTGGAAGCCATTGCTTCTAATTGCTCAAAACTCGAAAGATTAGCACTTTGCGGAAGTGGGAGTATTGGTAATACAGAGATTGCATGCATTGCAGCAAAATGTATGGCCTTGAAGAAACTTTGCATCAAGGGGTGTCCTATTTCGGACATCGCCATTGAAGCATTGGGTTCTGGTTGTCCCAGTTTGGTGAAAATTAAGTTGAGGAAATGTAAAGGAGTGAGTTGCGAGGCCGGTGAATGGTTGCGCGAACAAAGGGGATCTCTAGTGATCAATATGGATGCTTGTGAGATAGATGGTGGTTTCGAGGCTAGTGTCACCAATGGTGGAATTCCTGAAGCCGGGCCGGATTACCCACAGGTAACCACCGGAGATGCTTCGACGAGCAGCAACGGCAGGTTAGGACTATTAAGGTCAAAATTTGGGCTTTTTGCTAGTAGGAACATAGTGGCATGCACATTTAGGAGGTGGTCTAATGGTGATGATATTTTCAATAGCAACTTGTGAATGATCTTTTGAAGAGTTGGAACAATACTCTTTTCTCCGATCATAATGCAACTTGTAAATTTGCGAGATGAATCATTATTTTAAAATGCTTTTTGTACTTCTTGATTTACAATTTTTTCTTGGGAATTTGGAAAACCATTGGGGAAACAATTGCCCAAGTGTTTTCTAATTATTGCTTGCTTATAGTTGTATTGATTCATCTCCCCTTTGCTAAAACTCTGTTAAATGGCTATGTTCTTGATTTTGTTGAATCACTAGTTTGTGACCCCATGCCATGCAATTGATTTTTGAGTGGCGAATTTCAGAAAGGAAATTCATTTGTTTTGGAATCTTCATGGCTTCAAAGTTTAAGCAGCCTTTGCCAATTTTGTGTTTAGCTTTGTTGCATTAAACCAAACTTTGAAAGAAATTTGCCAACCAGGACTTCACTTTGGAACTCGATTCAAATATACTCAAATCAGTTTGTATCTAATAAGTTATAGATTTGAAGCCTAAATGAGCAAATAATTCAACTTTTGAGGACCGTATATTACATTTACATGCATTTAAATGCATAATTTTGGTGCACTAGTCCGATACACTCGTTCTGTTCTGCTCGAAGACTAATCAAACCCATTATGTGGATTCAATAGATAAAAGGGAATTTTGTTTTTCCTAGAGGTTATGAGTTCGAACAGTTGCATCTATATGATGTTTGTGCGTTGTCAATGATTAAGAAATGCGTGCTGAATATCAGTTAAAAAATAGCTAAATCTGTTTCAGTCCTGCAAATCAAATCAGAAACGAAATTTGAACAATCAGTTTTCATCTCAAGCTTCATCTCAAGCTTCATCACTGCTATTTCAGACATTATGAAGTCAAAAGTACTATCAGAGGATGAAATGTTTGGCCTGAAAATTCCAAATCAAAACTATTACATTACAAAGTTTGTTTTTACTTTGCTAACTAAATGTTCTCCGTAAACAGCTTTTCCGAACTTCCGAGTTCCACCACTCCTCTGTATGCATACTTCCAAAGGCTCCATCGCTGCCTCATAATTCGGCTGTTCGGAAAAGCACAGAAAAAAAAGAGAATATTCAGGAAGGACAAACACGACAGAAGATAGAAGGCAACTTGTAAATATTAACCTCGTAAAAATATGCTACACAGACGCGGTATGTAGGAGATGTATTGATAACTCGGTGTAGAGTTGAGTCGTATAAACCATTAGATAGTATCTGCAGTTACACCAAACATTTTAGTAGGATATAATCCAAAATGGAAATACAGACATTTGAAACCGCTTTTAGCATTGCGTTAATGTACCTTCAACATATCACCAATGTTGCAGACAAATGTTCCGGGAATCGGAGGAGCTGAGATCCACTCACCGGATTGGTTTCTCACCTGCATAATTTGTTTAGAAAAACTGTTGTTGAAAAATAAAGTAACGGGATTTAAAACAGCAATATAACACCAGCATAAACTATTAGGCCTCCAGAAAGAAAGGATTATCCCCAAGACAAGAAAAGGGTTTCACATTTGGTTAACAAAGAGAACATGGAGAAAAATAAAGTTAGCAATGCTTTGGTCATACAAGATAAACTTGCCAACTATATCTGTGATAATTTTCAGAATCATAAACGAAGAAATGCCCAGAGCTAAAATAGAAGAGAGAAGCGGCTAAACGTGATGTTTGGTTTACACTTCTCTTCCAATCAAAACAATCCGCGAGAACTGATCAGTTTTGTCGATTTCTTAAAACCAGGAACTATGAGGATCATACCTGAAGTGCAGTGATATTTTCATCTTGATTCACCAATGTTAACAAACCTGTTGAAATATTGTACAACTTAGGATGCTGTTTTAAAATTAAATCTTTTAAACCGCTTATCTCAAGTTAAAAGGGTACTTCACCATAGTCCGTGTGTGCACCGCTGAATTGTTTGGCCCCAAAGACAGAGACAGAAGCAAATGAGAACAAGGACATACCAAAATGGAAGTAATTAAGCAAAAGGAAAAATCAGCTGCATTCACATTCTATTACCATCCAATGTCAGTTTCAGGTTTACATTTTCCGTTTGCAGTTGATGCTCCCGGATAACCAATAAGACGCATCACCCAAAATGCATCACTGCCTCTTTCCCCTTCGAATTCATCTGGTGATCCACCCAATGCAAGAGCAATTCCCCGCATAATTTTTCTTGACAGTTCTGTCATTACCAAGAATCCAAAAGCTGCCATGAATTTCCAGCCAAGTAAAATTATTAAAGGAGAACACAAATTTGTAAAACACGAGCATGCCTGTACAGAGACGGATATACTCCTCCATCAGTTCTTTGAAGCTTGGAGGATTATGTGGCCTGTCAAAACGAAAGAATATCAATTCCGAAACTCAACCTCCAAACCTTCAGATCAGCCACTATATGCAAAAATGTTGGTACAGATGTTCCCATGCATGGAAAATCTATAATCATTGTAGGATGTATAAACCATTTTGCAATGACTTAATCCAATCAATTAATTATCAAGCATTGCCAATCATTAACGGCAAAACACATAGCAAATTCCAAGTCCTTGTATGAAAAAAAATCTTTAACATTGTGCTAAGGCCCTTTGAAGGTCCTTCCAAAGTTCATCAATCTCAATGTCATTTGATAATATTTACGGCTGCATTGCACAAAAATTTTGTAATATGTATATGATTGAGAAACGACCAAGTCTTTAAACATACCATTGATTGCATCCTTCCATGGGTTTGCCGAGATCTCCATATATCCCTTGTTTTAATTCTTTATAGCACTGTAATCCAAAGCACCACACAAATCAGTGTCATATATACCGAAGCAGACATAACGTGCTACTTATGAGAATACTTCCCTATAATGCAACTGTCAAAGTTAATCCCCGAATAGAAAGGAAAATGACTATATAATTGAGATAGTTAAAAGCATTATATAACATCATAAAAAGTAAAACCACTTTTTTGGGACTGCACTAAGATAGTTCATGCAAAGATCCTCTCCAAGTGTTCGAAGAATCCGCGACACTATCTAAGAGTGAATAATGTGTTGTTAACTAAATCTTTGATTGAAACTTCAGAGATTTTAAATTGAATACGATGAAAAATATCCCTTTAGAAAATGGTGAATAATAATTATTCAAAAAAAAAAAAGATGATTTGAACAAATGTAAACTTTAAAATAAGTTGAAAGTCCATTACTCTCTCTTTTATATAAAGTAGCGGATAGAATCCTTTCAGTAATGATCGATTGGTACTGGCAACATGGTACCAGTGGAGAACTTATTGAAGGTATATTCCAATCAAAACATTTTAGGTTAAACAGAACATAAAAATTCCCACTGGCATCTTGCAATAGCAATGCAATGCAATGTAAATGAAATGGAGGAACAAAAAGTATCTACAAGTAACACCCACATCAATAGCTTCATGCATATCAGGCACGCCTTTGGTAATGTTTTCTCCAATTCTCTGGTATCCCCTGCATTCGAGTGTCACCTTACAAGGTCAACGAGATTCATATACACTAATCAATAATCTTAAACAACATTTATACACAGATTTCACTTCACCAAACAGACCTGTATCCAGCTGCAGGTGTCAACTTGATCTTGAGTTTTTCTTCGTACGGAAGATCAAAGAATTTGCGTGTTACATTTCTAACCTCTTTCACCATAGTCTCAGGGATTCCATGTCCCTTCTGATGAATCCGAAGGTGTACAAATCGAAGGGGAAAAAATACAGTGATAAGTTGGGCTACCATTGAGATATATAGACAGTAAGATACCAGAAACTTCAATTAAAAAACCTAAATCCTTCTTAGTTTCTAGCTTTTATCTAGCTCTTTTCAATTCAAAAAAAAAAAAAAAAACCTAAATCATTTAACTATTAGTGAAATACCAATGTAAACCTATTTTGCTTCGACTTTTTTCTTTCTTTAAGAAGCCGAGTTTAACATCCATATACGTATATGAGTGTAGAGATATGACCCTCCAAGGGTTCCATATATTTCGAAAAACTTTGAAAAAAATCGAACATGTTTCAACCAAGTTTTAGCATCATATATGTAAAACTCCCTTTGGAAGAACAAAGAAAATGAATAAAAAACCAAAGTGAGAATTTTACCGCATAGAAGAACCCAGCCTCACGGCAAGCCTTATCTAATTGCTTAACAACTTCACATACACCAGGGTCTTGAGCCATTTTTGGATCATCGCATTTGGCCAACAAAGGAGCAATATCTACATAACAATTTATAAAAAAGCAATAAAAATCTAACAGATAATCACAGTTTATGAAGATCCAAAATTTTAAAAGCACAAACTTCATCGATATATTTTAATTCCACGAACAAATTCAACTGTTTCGTTGCCCAATTTCGTTGTGCTTTTGGCTTAAATTAATCAAACCCTTTTTGAAACCCAGACCCAACATTCAAATTGATGATTCAGAAATTTCAATCAACCTTAGAACTTGAATTTGAATCATAACATCGAGAAAGCCAAAAGATTTCTGAAAGTAAAGCTTTTATCGATCAATCAAATAGATTAAAAAGATAAGTTTCGAGGAAAGGGAAATCATGGGATAATATAAATTTACCGATAATTGGGATGGATTTGAAGTCGGTGGCCATGCCGTCGATGATCTTCTTTTGTTCTTCACCTATGCTTTTTACTAAGGAATGTCACTCGGACTATAAAGATTCCATGAATAATTATGGAGAATTTAAAATTTATATTTTAGTTGATTTTATGACATGAAACACGAGAAACCTGTCATGTTTTTTTTTGTATCTTTGTAAAGGAATCGGCACTCAAACTAGTTTTTAATTCTTATATAATTTTACTAGTTTTTAATTATAGTTTAATATATTTTAGTAATCTTTTTCTTAATCTTTTTCTAGATAAAGAGAATCATAGCTACTGATATTTATAGACTTTCGATGCAGATTTTTTTATTGATCTTTTTCTAAATCTGTAATTCTACATGATTTCATTGTTTGTTATTTTTCTGACGCCTAATTTCTTTGTTTTTTTTCATGACGATCCGTTGGTTATCGAATATCTATGCTGGATGGGATTGTCATCAAGGGGATATCGTTTTTTCATTTGTCCGTTTTGGATCATATTCAGGTTTTTCTCCTCCATGTTTAGTGCTCGAGACTGTTGGAGTAATTTGTTTATGTAAGTCGTTGCTTCAATTGTTTATGCTTTTGTTTATCAAGCTATCACTAATTGATCATCGTTATATTTTATTTATGATAATCACGATTATATTTGTTCAGTCAATATTTTGTATTCGACAATACATTATTGATGATATTTTCGACAAATGAATATATCATAGATCTACTTTCAAAAAAAAAATTTAGTTTTAAAATTATTTTTTATTTTTTAATGATATTAATAATAAGGGTAAATTATATAATAGTCTCCAAACTTTTAGAGCATTTGAATTTTGATCACCCAACTTTTGAAACATGCAATACAATCATTAAACTTTTAATTCGTTTTCAATAAGATCCTTGTCATACCTTCCGTTAGTTTTTACTGATTTGACACTTAACTACCGTTAACTCCCTCTCTTTCTTCCTTCTCCTCCATTAAAACATCTTCTTTCACTCTTTTCCTTACTTGTTTCCTTATCTCTCCTTCATTAACTCCTCCACAAACCCCATGAGATTTCATATAAATAGTTTTTCCTGATGTGCCCATTTCCTTCTCAAACCCCAAAAGAATGATCTCTTTCATTTTACTGAGATTTAAGATTATTTTGGAATATTTTTAAATTTGTTTTTGGGTGTTGTGGTATTAATTTTTTTGGGTGTTTGGTTGCTGATAAGTTTTGAAAAATCGAGAAAGATTGAATCTTTAAGTATTTTGAGAGCTCCAAATTGAATATATTTCTTCTTCTTTGTGGTTACTTATTTAATTTGAATGAATATGTGATTTAATGCTTTGTTTGTGTAAACAGTTCATGAATGATAATTTGAAGTAACTTATGCTTGATTGAACTGAAAATTTGAAGTCTATGTTGTTGGCAATAATTGAATCCTCTCTTGATGTTTCATATTAATGTTGAAAAGGTTTCCAATGTTATTTCTCCCTTTGCGATGGTTATTAGAGGAGGATGTGGTTTTGATTATTAAGTAGAAACTCATTCGGTGTTTGTAAAAGATGAAATAACTTGTTTTAGAGGAAGAGGAGGAAGAAGACAGAGAGGGAGAGAGACGAGTTAACAGAAGGTAATGGAAGAGACCTTAGTAAAAATGAATTAAAAGTTTGATGACTGTATTACAAGTTTTAAAGGTTAGGTGACAAAAATACAAGCACCCTAATAATTGTAATATCTAATGTTTTAGACAATAAAAAGTTATTGTAGATCGATAAGAGTCGATCATAAAAAAATAGTAGGAGGAATATTGTTTTGAGTTTTAGGGTTTGTTTGTTTGCCCTGAAATCCCGTGTTTGTTTCACGTAATTTGTTTTCCGAAAAATGTTTTCCAGTGTTTGATTGGAGGAAAACTGATTGCTCAACGTAAAACATTTTCCTGGTTAACAGAATTTCCTTTGTATTTTCTGGAAAATGACTTACGGTCTGATTTTCCGTAAGTCATTTTTCCGAACTTTTCACTTCAAAGAATAAATACTCAAAATAATTTTATTTTATGAATTTAATATTAATAAAATTTTAATATCATTTTAATCAAAATATTAATTATTAAAATATTTAAAATATATTATTAATACTTCTAATATATAGTATATTTTTAATTATAATAATAATCATATTATATAATATATAGATATTATATTTTTATTTTATGATATATACTAATTATTAATAAAATTTATATTATTTATTAATTCATAGAAATAATATTATTAAATTATTAATTATTAATAATAATAATATATTATATATTTAATATTAATATAATAATCTAATAATTTTAATAAAGATATTTAAAATATACAAATTAATATTTTTAAAATATAATATAACACTATCACTTTAATAAATAATTAATATAATTTATAATATTTTTATTTCAATAAAATATACCAATATTAATATTTTTATTAATAAAATTATAAAAATAATATTAAATAATAAATAAATTATGTTAATATTTTAAAAATACTAATATTAAGTATTATGATAAATAATATTATTTATTGTATTTAATATTTGTAATAAATAATTTTTAAAAAACTCATCAACTAATAAAAAAAATGTTTAAACATCTTCCAAACATCGTAAAACGTTTTCCAGATGTTTTTCAAAAAAAATATAATTCATTTTACGGAAAACATTTTCCAAAAAATGTAATTCATTTTCCAGAATTCAAATTCCATTAATTTATTTTCCAGAATTCAATTTCCAGAAAATCAATTACATCCAAACAAACAGACCCTTAATATCATATTTAAAGTATGTTGTATAGTTTTAATATCATAACTAGAGTATATTGTATAATTAGAGTTGAGTTTCGTGAGAAATTATCCACAAAAACAAATAAAGCATCCAAATTTAATCTGAATGTCCATAATAGGGAAGATTAACAAGATTTCAAATAAGATACATCTTGATCAGTCACGACGGTAAATCCAACCCTGAGAAAACATAAATAAACATATTTAAAAAATATTTTTTAAATAATGACGGGTCTAGAAATCAAAAAATAAATGCCTAAAATTTATTTTTTAAAGTAATGGTTATGCAAAAAAAAAAATTAAAATTTTTCTTTAACATATTAAATTAAATTTCAATTTTTTTTTCTCTAAATAAAAGGGATTTTAGTGTATCCGTCCTTAAATGTTAGTATGAAATGAACGTGAATGGTGGTGAAGGTGGTTCACGTGAGGCGTACAGCAAGCGTTGATATCACGCTTGAATAGAGAACCGCAAATTGACTCGCCTTTTAAGCCCAAAATGCTGAATAATAGTTTTCTTTTTATATATATATAAAAGCAACATGTGGAATAAGTTTGATTGGTCAAAATATTTATTTCTGTTCTCTTATAATTTTTTAGCTCATAAATTTTAGATATATTCTTCGCTCTTTTTTTAGATTTTTTCTCTTATTTTTTTAAAATAGGACATGGACGGTCGCATCGACGGCAACGTCTGAGTGCATAAAAGCGCTACCCTCGTCACTCGGAGAGCTTCGTTTTCGTCGAACTCCACTAATGTCGGATCAAGCAGGCTCAAGAGTTGGTTATTTTCATACAAGGTCCAAGCCTAGACACATTGTAGGAACAAACTAATTAGTAATTACCCTACAGAATCGGACAAATAGTACTGCAAATGGGGAACATATATCTTTCGGGATTACCCATTCAAGAAGATAAATTCTGTCATTTTCTAAGGTGTTATCACAGTTTGGTCTACCACTTATAATCTCCAAGGCAACAACACCGAAGCTGAAGACATCGACTTTCTCCGTAAGATGGCCGCGCATCGCATACTCCGGTGCCAGGTAACCGCTTCAAGATGATCACATCGCGTCGGTGAGTAATGTTCGAGCTAGTATGGCAGGACTGGTGAACAAAAGGGTTGAAAGTTCTTACATTGTTCCAGCAGCACGAGTGGTGATGTGTGTTTTCTTGTCATCGTAAAGTTTTGCCAATCCGAAATCGGATATCTTCGGACAGAGCTCTGCATCGAGCAAAATATTGCTTGCCTTGACATCCCTATGAACAAACCTCGGCCTCGACTCTTCGTGAAGATAAGCTAGCCCTCTTGCTGTTGATAAGCAGATATTGAAGCGGCTTGACCAATCAAGATGCAAGTCATTTTGTCCTGCATTTATAGTAAAAGGGATTCCAAACAGTTGTTCCATTAATCCACACCAAAAAAGAGCATGGCATTATCATATTCGAATGTTTTCGTACCAAAGAGTGTCTGATCAAGACTTTTGTTCTCAAGATACTCATAAACGAGGAGGCGTCGGTTTCCTGCAATGCAACATCCACATAGTTTGACAAGATTGCGATGCTGCACAGCTGATATGGTAGCAATCTCAGTAAAAAATTGTTCTTTCCCATATTTTGTTGCTACGGAAAGTTGCTTCACAGCTACAACTCTGCCATCAGGAAGTGTACCCTAATGCACACTAAAATTTAGAAACATGTGTAATAATCATCGTTGCATGACAAGCTAAAACCATAGTTTACCTTGTATACAGGTCCGAACCCCCCTTCTCCTAACTTGTTCGAAGGACTGAAATCGTTGGTCGAAGCTTTTAACTCGGAATAACTAAATGTTTGGTCTAGGGTTGATGCCAAGAAGCACTGCAGAGTCAAGTAAGGCAATTAGTAGGCTGTAACTGCAAATATGATACATATTTTACGATAAAAGCCGATGTTCTTACATTCCTCGTCGTCGTCTTCTGTTATTTTCTTCATATATAATTGAAAATATGAGTATCAAAGCCAATGCTACAACAGAAACTGTAACACCAGCAATCAATGCTGTGTGGTTCTTCTCTTTAGGATTTCCAGGCGGTATCCCACTGACATTTGGTGTGAAGTCTGAGAAACAAAAGAGATTTGTTTGAAACAGAGAACTGAAGATAAGTACAGGAAGATCACTTAATGATTCACAAGTGTCGACTTCTCTTACTTGGAGTAGCGCTAATGGCCGAAACGGATGGACCATAATAACCTTGCTCTGGTGTGCAGCAAGTCCCCTTACCAGCCCAAAACAGGTGAACTTCAAGGTGATTCTCAG